AAGAAAAGCTTGCCTTTTAAAACATAGATAGCTATAGTAGCTTGATTATTCTTCAGATTTAGTTTAGCTGTCCAAAAGGAGCAGGTATTTTGCACAGGCAAGTACCATGGCCTAGTATTGAACTCTACAGTCTGGCATCAGTTGGAACACTCTCTCCTCCACGCTTCCCCAGACCAGCAGGTGTACATATGCGTGCACATAAATGCACCCTTCAAAAACCAAGATGACGAGCTTTAAAACAGAGGTGTTCCCATGCAAATCCTTAGGAAGCTTTTCGTTGTTTGGCTTGCATCAAAAAACATCCCTGAGTAGAGTGCTACTTCCCGCTTGCCTCTGCTGCTAAGACCCTGGCATCCTGTTCCACAAAAGCAAGTCTTTTAAAGAACTCCTTGGACAAGGACAAGCTAATTGAAAACTGGAGTAATTTTAATACTCCTTCATTTGCCCTGGACACCCAGGCAGTTGAAAAGAGCTAAAATGTTGCACACCAATAGGCGAGAGGAGGTTGGACTGTTAGGATAGAATTATCTTCTATGTAGTTCTCTGCTTTTCTCCCATTTTGCTGGCTGCTGTGGCAGTTACTGCAATAAAAAAAAAGCCAACTTTTTTTTCCTCCGAGTGTTACTGTAGTTAGAGTGGCTGATTCCTTCACAGATTTAAGAAAAATGCAAGCAGCTTCACAATCAGAAGATGCAAAAGTTTTGGTTTTTTATTTCTGGCAGGTCTAGGAAGCAAGAATCTTGTTATACTACTCTGAGGCCTTTAGGAAGGTTAGTGGATTAAGTTTCATAAATTTAAGATTTATTTTTTGATTTAAAAGATTTGGGATTTAGGATTTATTTCTAGTAAGAATTTTTCCTGGTAGACATAAAATCGTCTAAGTACAAATGGAATGTTTAGGTGCCAAAGTAACACACAGCGTTAAAATCTAAATTTGAAAAATCTAAATTTTCCTAATCATTTTCCTAACGCAGATTCATTGCAACTAATAAACGAAGGCAGGTCTCTTGTAAAGAATTAACGACTAGGTCTATCAGACGAAACCCCGCAACATTTCTAGAGTAGCCAGCTGCTAAAATTTGATTAAAACACGGTAAAGTGACAGCTGGCTTTAACGCTGGAAAAATGAAAACAAAAGGAACGGGCAGCTCTAGTACTATGCACAGACAGTTAACTTGCCTACTTAGTAATATGACTAGTGACCTACATAACAGACAAGGATTTAACAAAGACTGAAGAATGTACCATGAAAATCTTACAATCTGAGGTCTAATCTGACCTGCAGGGAATGTTGTACGCTTTAAATAGCAATAGTTGTATTGTCATGCAGAGTAGGGGGCCAGATTTTCTGAACTTTTTTCAGAATACTAGAATACAGTAACAGAAAAAAAAAAAAGTTTTACGCTCCTAAAATATGTTTTTACATGAAGAGTACAATGCTTGAGAATGTAAATGCACAGGAAGTTACAGTAAGTTCACACTGATATTTCTATAATTTTCCAAATTGATTACTATAGGATTTAACTGTGCATTACTTCACAGGAAAAAAAAATCCCGTGAAGTAATGTACAGCCAAATCCTATATTAATCACTTCAGATTCTAAATACTTAATGATTATCATCTTTCTGTCATACAACTATTACATGCTCATTCCAAAATTACTGCCAATTTATAAATTATTACTACTGAAATTTAGAAATGAAGTATTGTATGGGCATATAAAGTGAATGTCTCAATGCAATAACTCACCTTATTTTAGAGCAAGGTCTCCTTTTTGTGGCTGACAAAGCTATGGTTTCTAAGACCCCTACACAGGTTATGCTGTGTTTCTAAAGCAGCATATGAAAAGTGATAATATTAAATAACAGAGAGACAGAGTCTTAAAAAATCACGGACCAACCCAACATTATGTTAACATTAATTTTATAAAATACCTTACATGAACAGATAAAGAACTTGAGCTTACATAATAAACAAAATTTAAAAAGAATGTTGAATAAAATATAAATTAATTGAACAAATCACTAAGTTTGCCACATGTTAGACAAGTTTATAAAAGGCATTTTCAGATAAAATAGTTATTCACAAGAAAATCCTTCAAAATGGAAACTACTGAAGTCCTCTTCAAGAAGTCACTCCTAAAAGCGTTAAATTCCAGGTCAACAGGTAGTACCTGAATTTGCTTAGAATACGGTGTTCATTTGCTTCAAAATTTGTCAAGCTTCAAGACACAAATTTAAATGCTTTCAGGTCAGAGTCATCAGTGCAAAGTAAAGCTTTGAGCTGAAAATCAGAGAAATGTAACAGAAGAAATGATCCTGGTACAAAGCTTTCTTAATTCACATTACGAACAAAACAGTGCCAGATACACTCTTGAGATACTGAACATTAACAAATTCTACCAGTGGCCATTTTAGGGTTCCAGCCAAGCCATTAACATACTAATCATATTAAATTCATTTGTTTTATCACAATTTCAATTTTTTTTTCTACTCATGGTCTTTGGAAAAAATCCATGCTGCTGATTCCACCTTCTTTACTTTACTTCTGATTCAGCCAATCTGCTTAAAACGCAGTAATTTAGCCAAAAGGAGAGAAAAGGTGAGGCCAACAGACACCAGAATGGTGGGCTAAAGCCTGCAATGACATTTAATTGAAAGAAATATGATAGCACATGTTTCTGAGTTTAACCAACTTCATTCATTCAAGCACTCTCATTGAAGTAAGTCTTCCTATATATGTGCATAACACTGCCAGGCTCAAATCTTTAAGTGTTTCAGAGGTTACTATGTGGTTAGAGAACTAGACTGTAGCCAGATTAATTTATTTTAAGCCTATTAATTCCTGCAGAGTAAACATCAACCCTCTAGCAAAGCAATTTCTCTGTTTGACTTTAAAACTATTAACAAGAAGCAGGTCTGAAATAGTCTTCACGTTCCACTATTTAGAAGTGTTATCAGCACACTCATTTAAAGATTAATGGAACTCTTTTCAAGACATCACTCAGAATATTGCTCATCAAGCTTTTTGTAACATACATTAAAAAAAATAAATAAATGCGTCTGCTGGCCACAACCAGAAAGGAGAAGTAAAAATTTAAAAATCTTAATCCATCAAGCAGCAGTTCCAGTCTCTAACTGAAATATAAGGCTGCAATTCATACTAAGCTGCTGCATAAAAATGAGAGAATGAGTTCTCCATTACAATTCAAAATTTCAAAGCTCCAGCTGTAGATTGTTCATCCCTGTAAAGTATTCTTTTTTAACTGTCATCACTGCTATGCTGGCAGTTATGCTAGAACCTCATTTAAGTAATTCCAGTACAACCAAAGTGTTTAATTTAATAGCACGAATAATTTTGAATTTACAGTTAGCTAAAATGCTGAAGTGATTCTTTAAGCAAATCAAATGAACAAGAAGACTCAAGACTATAGAAATTTTTCCCCCAAATGAGAGGAAAGATCTAGGAGCACTAAATGGAATTTCAACGAAAACTTCACATAAGCTGCACTCATGGAAAGAACATTTAAAGGAGCTGCAAATACCCTTTCCTAGAATATAAACTCAGAATCATTTGCTCAAATTGAAATAGAACTGCAGCTCTTCCCTATATCCTGAATTCTCTTGATCATCTTTTTTCATTGAAACAGATTAATATCCACACTATGCTTTGTGATGCTACAAAATAATTTAGTTAATTTTAAGAATATGTTCTTTGATGAAATGACAGACTTTGAGATACCACAGTAATTTCCACTGAATCCTGCCATTCAGTCATTTGCTGCCTTTAAAAAAAGATAAATCTTCAAAACAAATGCACTGACTGCTGAGATCCTGATCCTGTAAGTGGTGTAACTCTTACCATTTGCTCTGAGTGAAGGTGAAAGGGAACAGATAAATATGTACCTCATGTCCAGCTTAGCACATTGTGAAAGTTCTCATATATTGGTCACATCTCAAAATGTGAAAAATATTCTGCCTGCCACATGGTTTTATCTTTCAATAGTAATAAAAGAAAATAAGATTTCAAAGTTTCCTAAACAAAACAAGAAAGCTGCAATCTTAGGAATCCAAATATTTCCAGAATAATTCTAAACTTTTGAGTGTACTAAGAAGAAAGTTGTCTTTTCTCTTTTAAAATTGGGAAGATTTTTAGTTTGGCTCCCATCAATTTGGGCTCTAAATAAAATGTCAAAGCCTGGGGTATCACTAACTAAAGCAAGCAAAAATGTACCACCAACTAAGCAGCTGTAAAGTGAGTGAATGAATCTGGGTATTAAACATATACTTGAGAATAATAAAGTGTACAGCGCAGGAGATTACTGAAGAACTCTGCAAAAAATATTGCTACAGTAGCATTAGGAATTAACAGTGTATCAACGATTTTAAGTTTCCATGTTAATACAAACCGATCCAAGCCACAATGAACCACAGGATAATCACTCAAACAAAAAGTTAACCTCATTCTTTTACAGAAGCTAGAACTGGAATTTACCTGAATACCCTTAACATGATTCAAAAAGATTCTTTCTAGTCTGGCATTCCTCAGTTTACACAGAGAACTGGTGCCATTAGTGTGTAATCAAACCACAGTATTATCATTTGCATTTGGTTTTTCTGAACATTCGCAATCAAATAGTCCAATTTGAAAGAGCTTTCCCATGTTGGAATTCAGTATCACTGACGCATGAAGAGTTTTATTTGTTGGTGGAGATTTTTTTTATGGAAATTGTGTATAAAAGACCTTGAGGACTACAGGTCACAGAATTCACGTTAAACAGAAAGCTGCCCAACATGACTGTCAAAATGCCTTTAAAAAGACAGTTCATAGAATAATGCATTTTACATTCAGATATTTCCTCTCTCAAAAGCAAAGGAGTCTCAGAAGAAAAAAAATAATCAGTAGTGAAGGCCACATACTTTTTGCATTTGATGAGCTGAAATGCAAAAAAAAAAGTATCTTGTATGAGAGAAAAAAAAACAACAAACAAACACAGAACTTCTGGAAAGTGATGATTTAGTTGATGGGGTGGACAGCACAGAAACTGTTGGGAATGCTACAGCAGAACTGACCACAAGTACAAGGGAATATGAACAGGAACATAGTACAGGCATCAACTAGAAAACTGTAACTTGCCAACTTGTAAACAAGAAAAAAGCATTTCACAGATTAAAAGTTCTAGGGAAGTAAACTTCTTTAAATTATTTTGTCAGTTCAACCCTGATTTAAAAAAGTATGGCTAGCAAAAATACATAAGCCTCAGCATATTTATAAGTCTTGATCAGAGCAGCCATGAGCCTTTGATAAACGGCTGGAAACAAACACCCTTCTACTAAGGATGAAAGAAAAATATTCCATTCTCTTCTTCCTCTCATTCCCCAATCCACATGTATATGTAGAATTCACATGCTCCAAGGAAATCCTGATGCTGCTATAGATTCAGACGTGGGGAGACGGGTGGAGGAAAACAGACAAACTCTCTTAAAATACTACGGGCCACGTCAACATTATTCTGGGCAATTTCAAGTGCCCTCTTGACTTCTTCAAAGGAATAGCCCTCTCCCATAAGTTTTGCAATTTTTGCATCCACATTTTCCGTGGAACTGTCAGAGCTGTGTGCTTTCCTGTGGTGTATTTCTGGTGCAGTCCTCCGAGGAAGTGGTTTGGGGGGTCTGGCTGGTGCTTGTGAACCATCTGTTTGCAATAAAGGAGATAGAAATCATTATAAGTTGGCTTTAAATTGTGTTGTAGTAGGTCAAGTCTCATGAAGCAGTTAAAAAAGCAAAATTCTAAGGAAACAGGAAGAGAGATTTTAATTCACTGATACAATTAATTTTAAAATTTCAGCAGAAGCTGAATTCCTGAAGAATATCCAAATTGGAAACAAAGTAGTAAAACCCTATTTTAACAATAGGATAGGAACATGCAAGTTACAGTATGAATTATCTGAAATTGGAAGAAAAAGAAAGTATGATGAAACAGCAAAGAGGGTGTGAAAATAGCCAGTGAAAATTTTAAAGGTTCTCCACTGTCAACTCATAGTTGACAGAACTTTTTCTTAGTCTGTTTTTTAAAACAAAACATAAATTTTATGATCCTGGATAAAATTGTGATAAGTTGTGCCGAAGAGAAATCCGGCCAATTGGCCTGAGGAAGAAAAATCCTTCAATTATTGGTACATCTTGCAGATTCTATTCAGCCAACTGCAGTTCATTTCATGCATAGCAGTTACGCATAAGCACAGAAATAACTGGTTTCTCAAAAAAACCTCTAGCCCAATTATTTTCCATGGTGAGAACAGAACATGATCCTTCCTCTCCAGTCCCCCTCTGGAAATATCTCCCCTTTCCTTCTCTTCTATGGAAAGGTTACCTTCACAGTTAATGCCAGTGCTAAGAATCATGATGTGCTGATGAAAAAAGCTAATATTGAAACTTGCTAATCTTCTCAGAGTCAAGAGTTTCGTGCTCAAGTAAACTTGGTACTTTACTGAAACCTCTTTATCCTTACTGATTCCACAATAAGAAGCTTAAATACAAGCAGGCATAGAGCAGAAAACACTTTCAAGAGCAAAGTATTTTTTTAAAAAAAGAAGTCTTTAATCCTTCAAAAAGGGTTCTTAGAAGTTCCATCAACAGTCACTTTGATAGATATATTAGAGGAATTTCTGGTTGTGATACTTCCTGTTTACTTAACACTGACTGCAATGGCATTTTGCAGTGTTAAGCACTTCAGAGATAGGTTTTTTTAGTGATGAAAGAATGTTGTATTTCTAGTATTGCTGTTACAACACATTACCTTATCATAACACTGGATAGAGAGAACAGTAATTTAACTGAGTGCATTAAATACTTAAAGCAAATGAAAATAGTTCACCTTAGTGTACATCTAACCAAGGTGCATTTTTCTTTCAATTTAGTTTCCATATATTCAGATGAGTTCTGCTATAAATTTAAATTCTATTTCTTAATTCAGAGAAAAAAAACAAATAATACTTTTAGCAAGATGGTGATATTCGTAATTGATGAGAGTAATTTGATTGAAAATATACAGTACAGGACTAAGATTAATTTTGTTCTAATTTAATTGCCTATTTTCCTTACAAATAGTTACAACACAATCTATAGATAGTAAGGGGTATTTAATATTTGTTATGTTTTTCTCTCTGAAGATGGAAAGAATTCTATAAATGCTAAACATTCTAGTAAACACACCTGAAGTAAATCCAAAGCTGCTATGAAGCAGCTGCTATGAAGGTGTGGAAGATTCACTAAAACACACTATAGCTCAGAAAATGTGGTTAATCACTAAAAGCCAAATCAGAAACAAATTCAAATTTCTCCTTTCTCTTATTTTAGAAAACTCCAGACTCTTAACAAAGGAATATTCTTAATATTTAAAGTAAAGGTATATACTGTTAAAACAAACTTTTTTTTCACAAATATTTCAAACTGTTTTAATATGCACATTTTGTTATGGACTTCATTTCTACAGAGGATGAAAGATAATTATTTTGCAAACTCTACATTTTCCCCTGGGCTTGAAGTATGGAAGAAATTCCTTTTGCAGAGTTTGGATCCTTCTGTGTGTGTTACATGAGGTATTTTTTTGCTCTATCCAGTGTAATACAGGCTTAAAACTGAAGTTACTTCTTGTATTAAATCTTCACTTTGCTGAAGCTTCCAAACAAACTTTATTAAGCAATCACATCATTTGGAAAGGTCATTTTTAATTCTGTCAGATTTGCAGCACAGGCATTTTATTCTCACTATGGTGACATCTCTCTATAGCACAGATACTTTAAGATCTTCAGCCCTCTCTTTCTAACTCAATTCCCATTATTATTTCTTTAAGCGTTGACATGTCTTTCAATATCTTCACATCTATAAAAAATTTTAGCTGAAGCTGGGTATCACATTGGATCCTGAGCTTAAAGATACTAAGCCTAAGCTGCATGTCCATCTGGACACTGAGATAGAGGTATTTAAGCAGGACTTTCCTTCCCAGCCTCCCAGCCCTCTCTGATGTTTCAGGTACTGTGGATGTCTAACCGAAAATTCAAACAGATGTTCTAATTGTGCAATTCAATTAAGAGTTTCTACGTCAAGGAGCTTCCTCTATCACTCACATTTCTGATTTTCAGCACTTGATTTAACCCTTTGGTAACAGGCTAGTGTATAGGCAGACACAGGTTTATTTAGTAAGTGTTTAAAAAAAGGCACAAGGAAGTCGAAAGGCAAGCGCTCTGTGGCACAGTGGGTAACTGTTAATGATGCCCACTGCCTGTTCCTCTCTGCTGCGACATGACCCGCTTCTTGTCTCCCCTTGCCGCTTCTCCTGTACGTTCCACGGTGTTTCACCAACAGACTTGAGAAGCAGGCTCGTTGTGCAAGGGCCCCTGTGGAGCGGTGGCAAGCAGCTACATCTAAGCTAACCGGGGTACAGGAACAAAGCACACCCAGGGGACACCTGTAGTAGATCAGGGAGAATGTGAGAAAGGAGTAACTGCACATGCGGGTCCATCAAGCTGTTGTGTACAGTCTCCATATTTGGCATTACCGTGGCACATTATTCCCCTAGGGTTAATTGGAATCCACTTTCAAATAATATGGGGCACCCTCCCCCTAACATTTCTGTGTGAAGAAATTTAAATTTGCATGCAAGTGCTTTAACAAGGTCGGGAGAGTGAATAGGCAGTAGACAAATAACCAGCCATTTGAAATCATTCGGTACAGAATCACTAAATTCAGTGAAATACAGGAGACGTCTGTATTAGAGGTCTAATTTTCTTCTACGTTTCCCATGTGTCATTGACTGTGCTCAGCTAAAATATGCGAACTGTTAGCAATATCACCTTCTCTTGCTTTTACTATAATCATTTTCAAAAGCTGTGTTTAAGAAGTTTGAAAAACCATGCCTTTGGAATAGTTAGGTGCATAGCTGAAATCTATTTCTTAAGTGTTCAATGCTGAAGATATTGCTGAATTAGAATAAATTTCTCATTACAAGTTAACAATTCAGTTGAACATCTTGACAGCAACCTTAAAAACAGTCAGGCTGAAGCATAGAAGCTAAAGGACTCCCCACATTACTCTAGGGAGCCAGTGCCTAAATTACAATTAGATTTTAGAGTGAACTACGTTACTTTTCCAGCTAGTTCAAAGACTCACCACACAAAAGGGCTAAAATGAAGAATTTCCTAAGCGAACTGATTAGTGCAGAAATGCAAAACCAAAAGTTTTGAATAGAGTTACAACTTCTCGATTGTCTTTTTAAATCAGAGATGAAGGTGAATCAGTTCATCTTTAAGCTCATCAGTTCTGTTCTATAGAATACTGCCCCTGTAAAAACAACTTCCTAATTAAGAATATGACATGATGTATCACATAGTTTTCATTAAATTGAAATTAAATTGAATATCTTCCTGTACATCATGCTGATTTAGAACAGTATCTATAGCGAAGGTCAACACATGTGGGTGTTTTAGAAGATGGTTGTGAGAAACATACAGATAGACAAATATTTATTAAGTGTCATCAGGAAACTCCAAGATCTTAAGCAGCAAGCATCTGTCAGCAATTTAGGAAAAGTAGAAACTGTTTTACCATAGAATTGCAAGAACCGCAGTAACTCCGTAGCATTAAAAGGTGGTTTTTATCATTATCATAACCTGCATTACGAGTGAATTTAAAATCCCATAAATAAATCAGGGCTAACATTGTAAGACAAATATCTCCCTCACAGTGTTACATATAAAACACACATTATAAAGCAATTATTCTTTTTCTTAACAGTGGGAAAAAAATAGAAGTATCCTCCCAAAAGTGCTACTGTTTACCAAAGGGATTACATCAATTCTAAAATGTACTACTTCATTTAAATATCTGTAGCTTAACTTCCCCTGCACTTCCAAGGCAGAAAAATGTATTCTTTCTTTCCTATACCCCAACAGAGTAGAACTATCTCATCCTGAGAAAAAGAGATTACATCATTTTTCCACCAGTGATTGTTTCAATTGAAGACTGATTATCATTACAACTGAAAGGCTGGAGAAGTAAGTCTTTACGCATTAGGAAAGAGTTTTCACGAAGAATTCTCTCTTATCTGGAGAATGAATAATGGTTCAAAGCATTGCTTGGCTTTTTCTTTGTGTAGTCCCTCCACACAGTAAAATTATGCAGGTGGGACAATCCCTCCCTTTCTCACATACCATGCTCATCTAAAGGAAAGAAAATCTCTCTAAAAGTAATTTGAAATAGAGGTAATATTGTTATTATTTTAAATAATTTTAATAGCTTTCCTGTAATTACTATTTGTGTTGCCTGAAGTAAAATTTCTGTGGCAGAGGAATTGCTTCTACCGTACACGTTTGGTTCTTGCTGTTTTATTAAAGGAACATTTTAAAATTTTCTTATAAGTTCAGACAAATGTATTAGCAAAAAAGAGCAGAAAACAATACTTTAAAGATTGAAACTACTTTCTTTTTAAGAGCAACAAAAAGATGGAAGTGAAATGAGTGCGGTCCTTTGCAGGACTTCTGATCTCTCGTGAGCTTTAAAGGCAGAAAAATCCCCACCTTTCTCAAAAAAACAAGGAACATCAGAACTTGCGTAAGCATTCAGTTTGACAGCCAGTGCAACTAGAGCTGTAACATCTACATCTACAAACAAGAGGTAGCCACTTCTACCTTTACTACAGAACTATTAAAGTTATCGTTTGATGATTTCCTATTTTTGTAAAGCAATATTAGTATTGTCATTTGTTGCCTGGAATGACAAAAACCTCTTTGGTTTACCACAAAATTTATTTGCTTCATAAAGCTGTCATTTTCTATAGGAACAGTTTTCTACCTTACCTGAAGAGGGAGGAAGTTGATCATAGTCTTGAGATGTCCTATTTGTTTTTACATTTTCTCCAGTTACTCTACGAGCAGGTGGCAAAGGAACATGACCAGTTACAGGATCAAAAAGGGGATCTGTAACAACAGAGTTTAAAAAGCATCTTAGGATAATCAGAATTATGATTTAGGGGAGGGGGAAGGGTTGATGTACAGAAGCTAGACTTAAAATTGCCTCCGTCCAGACAGAGGAGCCATAAATCCAGAGGTTTTCCCCCTATCACTGCCTATGCATGTGTACATCCAAATTCAACACTTGCATAGTAGACATGTAACTATGACTTGAAGTGACCAAAAAAAAAAAGGGGGGGGGGCACAGCTCCAATGTAGTCTATCCTGCACTGACCATTGTTCTCCTGTTCACATCCATGAGGCTCCTTTCAATTACCCAAACCTGACACTGCTACGATTGTGGCTGGCAAAGCACAGAAGAGGCTGCAAGGCCTGAAACAGCACAATTAGAAACATCCCAGCTCATCAGTTGAGCTAGAGCTTTTTAAGACTTCTGTGCTTTGCAGTTCACAAAGACTGCAGGGAAAAATTCCTATTAATTCAGTCCCTCTTATGGGTAAATATTAATATTACAGGGACTGATAAAGGCTGTGACTAGGCTTTTCAGTTCTCTCTGCTGATTATAGGAACAAAAAATTGAAAAAATGAGATAAATACATAGTTGTGGCATATCATGTCCATTGTGTATTTTATTTTTTTTTTTTCTATTCAGGATGCAGTTGAGCAAGTGTTAATATCATCCTGGACCTGGCTTCTGCTCTGGACTCATGAAGGCGTTTGTATGTGAGTGCAACTCTTTGCTGTTGTTGATGATGAAATTATTATTCTAATCTGACAGATTCTGATGGATAGCTTAGAAATCACCCCCAAGACTTATATGGAAACCCATCACTAAAAACTCATCATAAATCACCTACAGCAGTTTATTTGACAAGATGTAAAGTGAGTAACATGGCTTTAGAAATACCATATGAATAAAAAAAGACCAATCCACACAACCATGCATGCCTAAATAGATGTATACTCTTCTAAGATTAGTGAAAACTGCTGCTGTAAGATTGTATTCACTCTGCAAATATGAAGAACAATATGTAGCCATAGACACATATTCCAGATTCTTAGTTAAAAGCTATTAAATGTTTTTTAACACTATCAGTGATGGAAATAACAATAATTTAAGACTCTGCAGGTTTCTGTGAACTGCACGCAAATAGACAGAGCTTGTGTGCTTCTATGAGTCAGAACTGAATGGTGCAGTGTGTGTTTCTCCATCAGATGATACAGTTGAGGCATCCAGACAAGACTACTGAAGACTGCATTATTTTTATTTTGAAGTGTAAAAGACAAATTAACTCCTGGCCCTGTATTTATGAAGAACAATCTTTACATTCTGTAACATGCAAAGTCTTTTTATGTGGATGCGTTCAGAGGCTTGCATGAGAAAGTAACACAGTGAGCTGAATTTGCATTATAAAACATACACAGCTTTGTCAAATTACTCAATGTCAGGCCTGGACTGGTCGCAAAAAATACATAATGAAAACATTCCATAAAGGGTCACTTCAGATCAACCTAAACTAGCTGATGCTCATCCCACAGCAAGTACCGTTCACAAAGGTCAGCCAAATGCCCGACAACCTGTCAGGCCATTGTGGAGTTGTGCATGGCTGCTTGTCACCTGCATGCTAACCTTCCTGTGATAGATACTACTACCAAAGCATTTCAATCTATCCCTCTTCCTGCAGCTTCAAAGGAAAACAGACAGGAGGAGGAAGACGACATCACACCACAAGGTAGATCATCACTGAAAATATTCCTGGGACAGGTAAACTTAAGACACCAACATCCTTTGGAAGCTTCCACAGAGGAGAAAAAAAACTTCACTTCACAAGCACGGCCCAAAAACCCACAAAAATCCTGTTGAAATCTGCCATCAGCAGCAGCAGATGTAATTAACCTGACAATCAAACACTTTTCAACTCAGAGACAAAAATAGTAAATTGTGAACACAGCTTTTATACCTTCTACGAGCAAAGTACCAAACTGAGAGGGTGTCACAGTGATTCATGGGGAGAGGTAGGTGCAAACTTATCAAAAAGGTTATGAACCACAGGTGCCTGTAACTGTGTTTTTCAGCAAAATTTTACAACAGTTTTAACAAAGCATTACGTTCTTTTCCCTTATTTTCTAGGTTTTCCCCAAGTTCCAACTTGAAAATAAACTCCATGAATTACGTTATAGTATGGAGAACAATGGAGCTGAAAAAAAGGATACAGACTAGTATCACAAATTAAGCAGAAAACTTGGCACTTCACAAGTTAACAGCTCTTATTAGAAAAGTACTATTAACAATATGTCTAGCCTGGCATAGAAATATTGACCTTATTTCACTACTTCGTAATAGAAGTTACATCTTTTTATATTCCGAGTTGTTTCATCTCCACCATGAAAAAATTCCACTCTATTTTTTAATATTTTGCATAATGAAGTCGAGACAAAACAGCCTTCTGAATCCTGATTACAACTGAAGTAAAGGAAAATGAAATAAAAACACATTGTTTCCTTTGTATTCCTACCAGAATGAAGGAACAGCTCATGTCCTGAAGAAGGTCGGCTTCCTGAGCCAGCAGGTTTTGTGTGCTCAATCATGCTGTGCCGAGCAGGTGGTGGTGGAGGTGGTAGTGAAGGGGGTGAGTTATCAAATGTATCTTCGCCTGCATTTTAGAAAAGAATTATTAGATGAGCAAAACTTCATTAAGAACTGTAGAATGAAGAGTGAAGCTTAAAATTTATTTTTCTCTGGCTGCCCAGGCCTTTACTCTTAGGGTTCATCTAGCAGCTCAGTGACTTCAGTAATGAAAATGTAAACCTGGCTCTTACTATGCACAATCCTCTTCTAAGCCACGCTCTGAATGACCTTTTGCAATGCTCAGTTTCTTTTCTGGGATCGGGGAGAGGTTTCTTTTAGTGGCTCAGTTGCAAAGAGTGTATTATAAAGAAAGCTTCACTGAATATCCTTGCAGAATAACAGCTGTGTTTCAGTGACTAAGCAAATACATTTATATTCAAACAGCAATGCTGACTACATTGAAAACGCTACATTTACACTGTATATTACTTTTAACTGCTGTTTTAAAGCTCTGACTCCAGATATAAACTGAATTATCTAGAGCTTTGCAGAAGAATGTACCCCTTACACAAAGGTCGTGTGGACAGGACTCGAGATACCAAGCTGTGTTCTTCTGCCTTCAATACTATGTACTCTTGCAATGCAGCAACACTTCAGGGACCAGAAAGTGTAGAGCGCGGGAACATGGCAAATGTTCCAAAGGTTTTATGGAATCAGAAAATCAGATGATGACACACACACACACACACTGACACAATCATGCAGTTGAGTTTGTCCGTGAAGGTGTGGGTGGTGGCCAAGTGCAGCCGCAGTGTATATGCAGAGCTTGCTGACTTTTGTGTAGGAGGACACAACAGAAATCAGGGTTGGAAAAGACAGATTTTGGTGACTGGAGGCAGCAGTGAGTTTTGAACTGTGCCTTAACAGTGGAAAAAACACAGAAATAAACTCATTAATTTAATTTAGCTTTTTTTCTTACTTAAATGTCACTTCTTAGGCATTCTTCATATTTGATAAAAGAAATTGAATGATTTAAGCTACAATAGGAAAACCTCTCCATTCTTGCATTAAATTGCAATGCTTAAACTTCATATTAAAGGACAAAAAACCTTGTAATTTATTTCAGGGTAAATGCTTTTGCTTTTCTTCAGAGCTTGAATACAGATTTAATATGCTTTTTCATCTGTCTTGCATGAGGGCTTACAGACAGATACCAGGTATGGTTCACTGACACAAATATTGACTTACAGCTGTAATATTTAGCCCATAGCTTGTTTGTTACTCTTAACGTACTCAACACTTTTTGTTTTTCAATAAACGTGGCATTTGGTTCATCTAGGCAATGTTAACCATTATATATAATCAGCAAAAAGTCTACAACCTAAAGGGGGCACCAGAAGATCATAATCGGATGGTGTCCTGTTGAGCAAAGAGCTGTGTTTTGGGTTGTCTCTGGTTGGAGGTCGTGCAGGTGGCAAAGGTACTGGAACAGCAGGGGCATCACAGGCATCTCCTGAACGAGACAATGACAAGAAGTGAATGTTTGCTTGCTGTACCTCTAGAACAGCACAGAGTAAATCTTCTTCCTAAACAGCAAAAAAATAAAGCCATACCTAACTCTGGATGTTTGGCTTTCTTCACCTCAGAACTAGTACTCTGTGTTCCATTCGTGACTCCAGCACATTGACCATTCTCACATACTCTGGAGACAGACATTAAACAGGAAACAATCAACCAGTTATCCACGTATTAATTCCCAGAATGACCAAGTACCAGAGCTGGCAGACCATTATACAGAATCAAATGAAAGACAGTAAGCTGCATCAGTTTTAAAATTTACGGGTTTTATATTGAGAGCAGATACTGCTTAACTATCAACAGAAGCGCTTGGAAGAATTGTACTGCCTTCTTGGTGGGATATTGACACTACACAAGGTTGCGTTACAAGAAAGAGGGAAACCTAACATTAAATGTAGTCCTTCCTTCAGAGCTCAGGTCATTAGTTTATTCACAGAGTTAAGTCAGACTCAATCCTATTTTGCCTTCCCAGCTGTTGAATTTTCCCTACCAGAAATATGATAAAGGGAAACGTGAGTTTTGGTAATTATCCATACTGAAGTACAGAGAAAAGTCATTAAATGAAATAAAACTGTAACAAAACCTCAAACAAGACACCACAACATACCACTAGCAATAGTAAGTTTCAACTAAGCTCGTAGCTAAACATTACAGAAAATATAAAATTGAACTTGCCAAAGCAGTTTTGCAGGCACCTATTCATTTCTATATGAAAAAAGTTGAGTCTTGTTAATACTTCTACCACAGTTTACTGATTTTTTTTTAAAATGGAAGCATATTACATCCTCAAAATTAAACAGTATTAAATGAAATATGAAAAACGTACAAACCAAACAGTACAAAGTTGCCTATAATCTTGTTAGAAAAATACTGGAGATTATTTTTGTAAGATGACTCTGCTCTACTGCAGGAGGGAAAAACATAGAACAAAAGCCTTTTCATAACATTAAATATTGCTCAAATAAATGTGAAAGAAATGGGAAATTACTCCTGTCATTGGAACTGTGGACCCCACATATTCAGAAAGAACTAGACAGTTTCTTTGGAAAAAGGCCACTGCGCTAGACGATTCCAGCTTAAAAATAAAAACTCCAACCCACTAAAATTTCAGATCTTAGTTTTTTTACCAATAGTATGAACATTAATAAACCTACCAGCTTTGGCCATATGAAAAGGAAGAATGAATAATGGTCTGGAATCATTTAAAATATATAAACAGGAAAGAGGAAGTGAAATTGTGTTTGTGGTCCCAAGAGTTATAACTAAGGGTAATGAAATAAATGTAAGAATAATTACAAGACTTAAAAAACAAACCAAAAATCTAATGGTAGGAGTTATTTTGTTATGAATTAATTTCCCCAGGGAAGTGGTAGAGGAAGTGTTGCTTCTATCTTTGAAATTAGATTGGTTCACTCTCTCAAATGCAGTGGATGCCACACTTTTCCTTGACTTCGCAGCACATATACTAAATAATTAAGAATAGATTTCCATTAAAGTAGAAAATATTCTGCATTTTCAATCTTCTAACCAGCCACCAGCAGCAAGATAACAAGGCACCACTTCAACAGTTTTCAGGCGATAACGAGACCAATTAAGTGATCAGTTCACAAATCATGCTGAAATATGTGTTTACAATAGTAAACACCAGAAAGATGGCAAGTACTAACAAGCAAGCCTTCTGGCTTTCTCGTTTCAGGAAAAAAAATCTTTATTAGGGAAAGTTGGTAAATATAATAATGCATTGTTCCTCTAATGGTATCCTATTCAGTTACGCTGAAATTCTCTCCCTTCATTCCTTAGTGCTGAACTTGCTCCATACCTGGAAAGAGATGATCAGCTATGCCAAACCAGGCAATTAGCTGATCTGCCAGAAATAAGACTGTGAATAATTATTTTTTTTAATTATTCTTGTAATATTTTTAGCATTGTCATATCTACTGGTTAACCAGCAAAAAGTCTTACAGGCAATGCAAATTTGGGGGCAGGTTGGAAGAACTCTGTAATTCCTAAACTACAAAACATCCAGAAGAAATTTTGTAGGCTCTTTAGTTTACTGAAAACAAGAACTGAGGAAGCAGCACTTAGGAATGGGATAAGAGAAAGTAACACTGGGAGACAAAACTGAAAGGCGATAAAAATTACACAAAAGGAAGAAAAAATAAAAATTGTTGTAAAAAGTTTTGCTAAACAATACTGAAAAGAAACTTTTACTGACACTCATGAGATTCAAAGAAATGCATTAAAAGAACACAGAATCAACCAGGATCAAGATTCTCTCCAAAAGCTTTATCTTAGCTTTCACATCTAGGCAGTGACATTAGCTAAAAGGAGACATTTTAAGTATATGGAATATATTCTTCACAAATATTCAGTAGGATTTTCTTTTTCTTTCTTTTTTTTTTTTTTTTTTAAGTGCTTAGGAGAATGGTTTGTTTCAAGTTAAAATTCTCAACAGAACATATAGTAAGAAGAGTTGGTGGTTTTCATCACAGAACAACCTCAATGGCAAATTGAAGTATTTTCTCTGTAGCAAGTCCTGGATTAATGTCAGAAAACCCAACCATAAGCACAAGCAAGCTAGCTAAAAAGCAGAAAAAACCTAAAGATAGCTTTTGATCTACAGCCTCTATTAATAATTCTAATGGCCTGGGGAAATCCTGTACCAGCCAACTGAAAGCAATCAACTCTATTTTCTACAAAAGAAGGGTACTGGGAAATGAGAAGTTCCTAGTTTTCCAGCTGTTTACTTTCTCAAGAATCTTTCAGGTTCATCTAGATATCAGGTCAGGAGAACAAATTCAAACAAATCTCCACAAGTCATCCTCACTCACAGCACTTTGGTTTCCACTGCAGAGAGGTTTCAGCATGCAGACTCAATTTTGATTCTGGATGATGTTAACTCAAAACATGTCCTGCAAGGAACTCGCCCCCTGTGCTGCAATTACTAAAAGGGACTCCAGCCATGGGATCATGAACCCCAAACTTCCCAAAATGTACAGTGTGGATGTGGGGTCCTTGGAGTCATTTGGTTGCCTCTACAGACTCATTCCTATTGCACCACACTACTAACGTAGACGTAGCCCTCAGAAGGTGCTAAAACAAGGTAATCCTTCCATGTACTGCTCCCCTCTGTCACAGGGAACTTCTTTGAGAAGGGTTACGACCCATATAACTCGAGTCATGCAAGCAACTCGGCCAGCCTCTACTGGACTACACTGCATGGTACGGAAGGACACTCCCACACAGAAGCACGACACACTCGGGTAAAAAATGGCAAAGGTAAAAAGGATTAGGACCTTGGAATTTTTTTTTCTTACCATTTTTTTCTTGGCTAGCATTAAGAGTTGTATTAATAACTGATTTTTTTCATTATTTTTTAAATTCTCATACTATAGGATAGGAGTTTAAGTACTCAAGATCATAAAGTTCAGACAACCGCGCAACATCCACTTCTACATAGAGAAGGTTGGATCAGCATTTCAATAAAGACAATTTTTAACCTGTATGCAAAGAATGACCAGACTATAACCTTTTGTCAACCTGTTCTAAACTGCGACTAAAGAGGTCTAAAAATGGTAATTGGGTAATTTTGTGATTAAAAGACATGCCGAGCTTTATTGATGGTGGGTCCTTGACATCACATTCCGAAACAGAGGAAAAAAGAGAGGAAAAATTGGCAATATGTCACTGCATTTTTTAATAGAAGAATCGGAACTTTTGAGATCAATACCTGATTTTAATATCATAATTTTGACCTTCAAGACCAGTAGAGAATTGGCCCTTTTTTGTCCCCAAAACTTTTTCTCTTAATTCCAGATATTTTTTTCTTTTAATGAGTCAAAGAAATTCACCAAGAATGACACAGCTCTCAGTTGCCATGCCCCTTGGCTCCAAATCTCTTTGCCATAATCCAATAATAATTAAGAACTGTGAAAGTTTTGGAGGTATCATTTTAGAACACATTTAAACCAAAAAAGGTATATTCCATCTGAATTTAAAAAAGGTTCTCTTTTTCAGTCACACAATTCTCCTTAAAATTAAATTCTGCAGGAGTTGTGGGGGTTGAATCTCCTGGTCAATTCTGAAAACCTCAACCTAAGGGAAAAAAGGATCAAGTGCAGAAATGGTAATCAAAAGCAAAAACCACCCAGTTCCAACACAACAGAGTTACAATAAAGTGAACTTCACAGCTTTATGATGGTGGTGAAGTGAAACAGAAGCATAAATAATCCAGGCTTGAAAAGGTAAGACATTTTAGAAGGCAGGCAAGCTTAACCATCATTATAAATGTTGAATCCAGTTAAATTTTGGAAAATGCATAGCTTTTGTAAACAAGTTGCCTTAAAGGCCGCTGAATTACCTTACCGAGGTTTTATGTTATGACCATGAGGTGGTTGTGAGCTCAATATTACAGGATGTGAAGAAGGAACTTTGTATTCATCATCATCATCTGTGTGATCCCTTGATTTGTCAGACAGAGAATTTGCTGAAGGAACAGGGCATCTAAGGAGATGAGGAAAAGATCAGTTTTGATTTAACTGCTACCTAACTGACCTCACTATAATACATAAAATATTCTTCTTTAGCCTAAACATCCTTAATACATGTTTGCTACATAAAAGGTAACAAAAACACCATGACAAACTCAAACTTGTAAGGTTACCAGCTCTTTTGTCACTGAGAATTCAGAGAAAAGGGCAGCTGACCTTGCAAGAATTAAACATCTCTTTTAAGCAAGCACAACGAAGCACAGAATTGCAAAGAATTGAGAGTGCAAAACAGGCACATACAAGGTTTAACCTGTTTGCACTTATCAGAAGAACTAAACACAAGTTAATTCAGGGCCAACAGTATTCAGCAGAGCTCAGTGAAGCAGACGACATTCACCCTTTTAGTGGTCTTGCTCCAGCCATAACATTATCAAAGTCCCAGAATTTGCCTGTATTTTAAATTATATTTACTCCAAACAGTAATTGTCTTTAATTGCCCTCCCAGACAGATATTGACATCACTTCTTGAAAGCAGTGGAAGCCCAGGGAAGAGGTAGGCTTCACAATCTCCACTGACAGGTAACAAGCAGCACCTGCCTCACACAGCACACTTCTTCACCAAGGAAAAACATGTGTCTTTCACTATTTACTGTAGATCATGCCATATGACTTCAGAACATCCAGGTATCCTGTGAATAAAACTTAGTAACTAACTACCAGAAGTACTAGACAGTCACTAAATTAACAACAAACAAAAAAAAAAGGGAGAAAGAAAAAGAGCAGGGGACTCAGAGGTGCAACTTTTGTTTGGATATATTCAAAGCCTAGAGCTCCCTAGCTACCTGTAGCTTCTCAGACACTCTTGAAACCAGTTACACATCTGTGACTTCAGAAACAAGCTCATGAAAGACGGGAATCCAACTTTTTCACAAAGACATACTAGCCAAAGACAGGGAAAAGAGGATTTATGGCACTGAACTGCAAACTCCGTGCTGCAATTTTCAACCACCTTCTGTAGAGGGAGCAAAATTTCACACAGCAATGCAGTGTGAAATTGCTTTTTTCATCCTCGATTTCTTAGATTGAGAGGAGGTTTGTGTCACTGCTGTAGAGCCATTTAAAGAGCAGAAAGTAAAAATGTACAGGGACAATGAGAACTCTGTAGTATTCTCAGGCAGAGAGTTGAAAGGCACACAAAGAATAAACTTTCTTTTCCTATGGACATGCAATCATTCTTTAATTTCAATCCAGCACATTCCAGAGATGATATATATATATTTAAATATACATATAAAAGCCTGGGTTTTTTTAGAAAATAATCACAAATTGAATTGCTGGCTTTGGTAGATAATATTTTTTGAAATAGTAATATATAGGCCAGAAATGTCCAACACTAACCAAAACAGGTTGGTAGTATAGTTTGAAGTCTTTTTCAAAGGCTATTACTGGGAATAAACAAAGCTTCCCTTCCCTGCTGAGAAATTGTTACTAGTCTGGAGCTATTATTAAAGACATTAGTTTCAAGTCTCCTGCTTCTGAATACTGTGTAGCTTTAGACAAGTGCTCCACACTAGAGCAGTGCTTTTTATTTGTAAAGCAGTAGAAGAGTTAGAGTACTAACATATAGCTAATATAGTCTCCCTTAGGGTCCTAAATTTGTCCTATATTTACATTGTACTTTATTAATATTTCAGAATTCGTATTTTTAAAACATCATAATGCTCTTCCAGTTCACTCCAGTTGTAATGATATTTGACTATAAACCCATTTTGCACTGTTCTGCTACACATGTATGCCATTTTCTCCACAATTATTGAAAATCTTCACGATCAAATTGTTTTATTAGATCTCTATTGTTCTACACAAAACCACCTAGTAAGATAAAAAGACAAATATTTTACAGTATTTTGTAACTAAACAGATGAACGTTGTCATTATAAGCAAAGACATGAAACACTTAGGCATCTGTTTATCAAGCTGGTGAATTTTTCTATAACTACACTTTGAAAATCTTCATTATTCTTACATCTTTAGAAGATTTGTGTACAGAGGAATACAACACTGACCAGTACACTGTATTTATACACTCTCTAGATCCCCTTCCTACTCCTTAATTGGAAATATTTTAAAATTGAAAGTCAGAAATACAATCTGGTAAGGATGACTTTGTATTTTCTTGTTCATTGAATGGAAGGCTAGATGTCAATCTCTCATCCTACACCGCCAAAACAGAAAAATATGTGAGAATTCATTTTTGCTGAGCCACTTAATGCCCGGCTTAGTTGTAAACTAGCTTCAGGATACTATTATCTCATGCTTATGTTGAAGTATTTCAGGGAAAGGTTCCCCTTCCATCATTTACTGGTAAACTGATTCACAGAACTTAGATATTATGAACATGACGAATTCCTGTCTGGAAAACAGAAGGTTTAAGCTCAAACATAAGTAGGTATTTCTCTACTGTGAGGGTGACAGAGCACTGGAACAGGCTGCCCAGAGGTTGTGGAGTATTTGTCTCTGGAGACTTTCAAAACCTTCCTGGAGGTTTTCCTGTGTGACCTACTCTAGGTGATCCTGGGGCTCTGGCAGGGGGGCTGGATTAGATGATCTTTCAAGGTTTCTCCCAACCCCTGACATTCTGTGATTCTGTGCAAACCATGTATTTCAGTCTGGATCAGGATCATACTTTTGAAACGAACCCCTTTAGTCTCCCCGCTTACCGTGCTTTGATTTGCACGGAGAAGCACACAACTTGAATACCTTTCAGATTAAATTAAATTACATGATATATTCCAAGTGTGCCCTTACGATAAGACTGCTCACATTAATGGGACAAGACTACAGCCAGCTGAACTGCCAGCTGAACACGTACAGGTCAGCCATCAGGTCCTTACCATGAATTCTTCTGCCCTATGCAGAGAACTACTTGCCAGTACAGACCAAAGCTTTAATCTTGCAAGGTCTCCACCCAATTCTTTCAGCCAAGTAAGTGTTAAGTTATATGGACCAGGAGATAAAGTCAATGCCTGTCAGTTGCTTGAGGGCCTCCAGCATGCTCTACTCTTAAAACCAAAGTGTCTATAAAAGCAGCTCACCTTCATTCACAGAGGACACAATCTCCTATTTGTCACAGGGTAAGCCTGCATCACGATAAGAACTACTGCAAAACTGGTGATGCACCCAAGCTCACTGACCTGTCAAGCTATGAGCTTAGGGCACCTTGTGTCATCCAGAGCATCATCTCTCAGATGTCTGGAACATGCCTGTAAGCAGTGCTCCTCCTAAGGCCGCTGGAGAAGTGCCATGTCAAAAGGCTGATTTCAAGGGAGCCAGAACTTCCAAGCCACAGTTACCTTTAACAGAACTATGAATTCACCTTCCAAGTTTTTTAGCAAGATAGAAGCGAGAGCAAGAAGAGAAATACCTTTCAGTGCTACTTTACCCTTAACTACCTCAAAGCAACTAGATATTCCTAAAACATTTATAAACTACAAAAGGCACTTGGAATTGGGTGTCTCGTTTTATACTCAAAAATAGATGCTCTCTCACAGAAAATACCACTGTGATATAAAGTACTTTTGAGAGGCCAATTTTCTACTGATGTAGTGAAATGCGACTTAAGGGAATAAATGCTATTTACTTGAAAAATTTTGAAGTTTTGGGGAAGAATTGTTCTGTAGTTATGACAAAAAGATTTACTTATTCTTTCAAGAATAAAATATCAATTTGATCAAAACTGCTAAAAATAATCTGTCATGATTAGAGCAGTCCAATAAAAGAATAACTTCTCACATGTAGGGCAAGCAACTAAGTGGCTGAGTGGAAAATAAAAATAAGATGTTTGGTTACAGAGTCCAATATTTCATTATTAAAGTATGGTTAATAATAATCAATTTAGTAAAATGAAAATAAATCAGCACCATTTCCAGGAAAAAAAAAAAAGACAAGACATTGGTGCTTTTCTATTAATGTAACTTGGCAGAGAAAAAAAGCCAAATTTGTAATGTCATATGCAGTAAAAACTGATCAAACAAGCAGGGACATTTTAGAATTGTGAAGTTTCAGTTAATGGTCTTTTTGCCATCTCATTTTTTAGACTCAGACATTTCATACACAGCCAATGTATTTTTCAGTCAAACCTTTGAAATTACAGACTCATGACAATAACTAGAAAGAATAAAATGCCTTGGAACTGTATGAAACAAACTAGCTCTCTCAGGCCACAACTCTGCAGAGATCAGAAAGTAGGGAGAAAAAAAAAGACACTTGCACCAGATTGCTTGCAGGAGCACAGTTGTGGAAAGCGAGAATATTTTGGATCAAGTATAATTCAACATATTTATGAGGGCTTAGTGCAATCAATTTAACAGGAGGAAAAATATACTGTAAAAATACTCTCTCCGACATTTCAAATTAAATCATGCTAACTATTATCTAGGTTATCTTTCTGAAAGCAATACTGGACTCACTATTTTTGAAGAATTTTACCCCCCTCTCCAGTTTTTCCACCTACATATTGCCACACAATAACATGGATTATCAATTTTTAATTGTAACAGCCATTCCATGTGACATTTTAGCGGTTGTTAATTAGATGATTTGAACTTCTTGCCCCTAGGATATATATTGATACTTTCTACTTTTCAAAAATTAAAACATAATTGTATATTTTTTAAGAAGCCTAAGTACAAAACCAAACCAGAGATGAAAGTTAATTTCTTCCTCAAAAGTCTAGGGCTAATGAAGACCTTCTTTTGGCTGGAACACATCAGTTTTCCATTTGGAAGACTTCATCTAATGAAAATACTTCGTTTGACCAAGCTATAGTCACACATTCTAGTTTCAGACTGGCTTGACAGGGATTTTGTGCCTGTCCACATTGCTCCAATATCCTGTGGACTTTCTAATGAACACAGTATGGTGTATGCATACACTGTACTTTGATTCTAGGCTACATCTGCAAAAATCTGAGTAAAAAAAAATGGATTTTCATGCAGCACAATGTTTTGTTTTCAATGCTATGAAAAAATAAGAACCTTCCCCTCTTCAGAGTTCAATTTTCTTTGGAATACAAACCAGTTACTGCTTTCTCTTGCTGACTGACACAGGGTTGTACTGTATCACGGAAGGAGTAGTCAACCCAAGGAGACGATTCTATAATGGGATCGATTACATGAGGTACACAAACGGTACTCCTGTGATAGCCTACCTCAGTGAGGTAACATCACAACATTCAATTACAGAAATGTCTCTATATCATGTTCTAAAATTTGCTTCTGAACTGAAAGCAAACATAGAGACCTCCTTCAACTCAGCAAGCGTTGCACCTGAAAAAACGCTTCTGAATGAAAAAGTCCATGGTCCACTGCACCTTTATTCTAGCACTCAGCAAGAGAAAAACCAGCATATTAATGAAATGCTGAAATGTATTTGTCTTTTATGTTACTGCTAATTGAACAACAATGGAATGGTTGCTGAAGATATGGCAAAACTACATGCTAATGAGAAAATTATCAGTATTAATATGTACTGGCTGTCCAATTACTTTATTTAACAGCAAGAATTACAAGGAGTACATTGGGAAGAAGCTGCAGGACAATATAAAACACTGTGATATGCTCCAATCTCCTTAAAAAATCACAAAGAATCGACAAACTACATTTTAGCACTTCCAAGATTTCTATTTCGAGTGTGACTCAGAGTCCAAAGATATTTGCTATGCACAGCCACATCTTGGTACAAAATAAGCAGTCCTCTTACTCCAAGACTAGGAGTAGCCTGCAACTTGAAATGACAAGATTTCCCAAACCATATCGTGGAACTCAGGGAGGCTGAGCCCATCTAAAACCATATAAAACGGTTTTGTTTATTAGGCACAACAAAGGAAAAAATACTGATATGAACCCTGGATAAGCTCTATGTGCATAAAGCCCACAAAGCACGATGAGATTAGGGGCAGAACCCACACACATCGTGCTTTTCATCTGTAGCACTTTCCCTAGAACCTCTCATCTTGTTCAATAAATAGCTCTGACCACACCTCCCTGCAGTAGAAGCAAAACCAGACGGTATGAGCTTCCACTGCCAAATACCTGGGAGCAAGATCTGCCACAATTTATTCTCTCTCATACAGTATGTTCAATTAACATTAGAAATGCCCCTACTTAATATAACTTACATTTCTTTTGTAAAACCACGTTTAAGTTCATGGAAAATGTAACACCAAGTTATATTAGTTAATTTTATTTCTTTTTTCCTGCTTTTCTTTCAGCATCAGATAATCAGTGCTATTATCTAACATTAATTAACACATATAGATGAAATTAACTTACTTTATACTAGGGATGATGGAGGCAGGTGGAAGAGGGGGTGAAAGCCGTGGAGGGACATCATATTCTTCATTTATCAGATGACCGTTTGAAAAGACCTAAAAAGCACACAAGTGTTAAAATGGGTATCTCCTCCTGTTTACCGCCACTGCTAGATGGACTACGCAGTTACAGATGAACTGCTTGTGGGAAAACTAATATTTCAATATTGCAAAGCAATCAAAGTGAGAGGGATCAAGTACAGTGGGAAAACAACAGGTACAGCATGCTAAACATAATCAGGTTTTTTAGAAGTCTGTGACATTGTGCCTCCCAGAACCTACTGCCTACCCACATGATTGTCTTCTCTATTCTTGGCTTTTACCAATACAAAAAAAAAATTGTATTACAATTAGATATTGATATACAATTCAGGAATGAAAATTCATTAAATGTTTCCTTTGTGAACGTACATGCAGCCTGAAACGGTAGTTCAGAATCGCCAGTTGCTCCATTTAACCAAAGGGCATAGATCTATAACCTGAAGTTGACAGTTCAAACAGTATTTGGTTCAAGAAATACATACCTAACTTCTCCAGACTACACTGTCAGTACTGCATTGAGTGGTTATTCTGAGAAGTACTCATTCCATCAGTTTCAATACTGTGCCAGAGCACAACTGGAACGCTGCTCTATAAAGGTACAGTTTAATATATAAACCCAGTATCCTTTTAAAATCAGATGAAAAGCAGTAGCACTTTAAACAACTGCCTAGCTGTAAGTAATTTTGGTGTTTTGCCTCCATGCTGACAAAAGGACACTCTAATTGCATATAACATCATAGACTTCTTAAGCACCTTTCATCATGTATGTGTCAATGTTCATTACCAATACTAACTGAATTACAGTAATACACATTCAAAATAACCAAAATATCCATATAAAGAATTTTTAAAATAAAGATAGAAAGGTTAAATAGCTTGTGACCTTGGGAAAAGCAGAGTGAAATAGTTATGACTTCTAACTACCATGACTTAACCACAAATCCAGCCTTCTTAGCACCAGCTACGTAGTCTTGAAGCTAAAAAAAGAGCAGCTCTGAGTTAATAACCTGCTCTATGAATAAATTACTGAGCTGCTTTGATAAAACTGATTAGAGTAGAACTCAGAACTTTTTCTTAGGCCATGACCACTTGATCTCTTTTCAAACCTAAGCCCCTCCAACTGTACAGTCTTGAAAGCTGTCTGAAGCTGCCTAATGCGAGAACTACTCCCTCTATGCTCTCCTCCCCAGATATCTTCAATTAACATACAGAAACAATCCTTCACTTCTTTTTATCTTTTCATAGAAGAAGCACTATTGTTATCGATATATATATTATTCACCGCAATCAAGGACAGGAGAACATACTTCTCCCATGAGTGACAACCATATGCCCCCTAGCCAAATCAAGCTTGAAAATCAGTGAAAAGGTTGAAAGTGACAACTCTGAATGCCTTCAGCAATGAAAATGAATTATTGGACACTACACTGGACATTTGTCTAAGAGAACTCAAAAGCTGCTATTGATAAATTGCAACAATGTCCAAGTCCAGCAGCTGGAGTTCTGTTTTAAATACAAAGGAAGAAGAATTCAGCTAAAGATATGTAATACTGTAAACAATTGACAAAGAAAAGGGGAGTTGCAGTGCTAATTATCCTGAATAATGTTTAGAGTACTGATGATAATACCAAATAAAACAATGCAATACCGAGGTTGTGCAACTGAGCACTTTCAAGGATGCTGCCCACATAGCCAGTGACAACAATACAATAAATGATTCTACATTTAGCTTGGCTTTGGATGTATTTGTTTCCTCTTTCTCAGGGTCAAGACAGGTTAGACCTTTTCCATTAGAGTACACTGAACAAGACTATTTTCAAAAGAGCATTAAACTAGCAATGTTTTACTGATTAACAACACAACTGACCTTTAGAATATATAGGGGTTTATGTCAACGCATGAAATATATCTGACAACTTAAGTATATTTGTATACATCATCTGTACCTATCTACTATTCCAGCAGCAAATGCACACACAATTTTGCTGTAAGATACTTTCAAAGTGGACCTGAGATGCTGTATAGCTAGTGTACAGCATAGAGTGACATGTTACTATCATGCACCAACTGTACAGATGATTTGCTAAAGGAACATAGCAAATCTAGAATTTTCTCTCCAAGTCATTGTTTGAAGGTTTCATGTTAAAATAGGAACTTAGACCCTCATATACAGTTGCTTTACAAAATATAGAATTTAACAATGTATTAACGATCAGGATACTATTAAGTCTTGACAGGAAAGATTCGGAAGCAGTAGATCAACATTGACCAGTACAAATGGTGTGTTAGCCAGTGCAAGACAGTGCTGCAGCAGGGTATCAAATTGGGATTAACACAATCATAGAATCATTCAGGTTGGAAAAGACTCTTGGGACCGAGTCCAGCCATTAACCCTACTCTACAAAGGAGTGATGAGGTCTCCCCTCAGCCTCCTCTTCTTTAAATGGCCCCAGCTCCTTTCAGTCGCTCTTCATTTGTTCTCCAGGCCCTTCACCAGCTTTGTTGCCCTCCTCTGCACTCGCTCCAGCACCTCGACCTCTCTCTGTATTGAGGTGCCCAAAGCTGGACATGACACTCAAGGTGTGGCCTCACCAGTGCCGAGTACAGGCGGGCAATCACCTCCCTACTCCTGCTGGTCACACTATTCCTGACACAAGCCAGGATGCCATTGGCCTTCTTGGCCACCTGGGCTCACTGCTGGCTCATATTCAGCCACTTGTTGATTAGGACCCACAGGTCCCTTTCTGCCAGACAGCTTTCCAGTCACACCTCCCCAAGCCCGTAGTGTTGCATGGGGTTGTTGTGGCCCAGGTGCAGGACCTGGCACTTGGCCTTATTGTAACTCTTATCGTTAACATTGGCCCCATTGATCCAATCTATCCAAATCTCTCTGTAGGGCCTCCTTACTCTCATGCAGATCAACACTCCCACCTAACTTGGTGTCATCTGCGAACTTACTGATGATGCACTCCATGTCCTTATCAAGACCATCAGTAAAGATGTTAAACAGAAATGGTCCCAACACTGAGCCCTGAGGAACACCGTAAAGATGTTAAACAGAAATGGTCCCAACACTGAGCTCTGAGGAATACCACTTGTGACCAGCTGCCAACTGTATTTAACTCCACCAAACATCACGCCTTGGGCCCGTCTGTCCAGCCAGTGCTTTATCCAGCAGATCATATGCTTGTCCAAGCCATGAGCAGCCAGTTTATCCATGAGAATTCTGTGGGGAACAGTGTCAAAGGCTTTTTGAAAGTCTAGGTAGACAATATTCACAGCCTTTCCCTTGTCCAATAGTTGTCATAGGAGATCAGGTTCACCAGACAGGACCTGTCTTTCATAAACCCATGCTGACTGGGCATGATGCCCTGGTTGTCCTCTATATGGCATGTCATGGCACTCGAGATGATCTGCTCCATGACCTTCCCTGCTACTGAGGTCAGACTGACAAGTCTATAGTTTCCTGGATCCTCCTTTCTGCCTTTCTTGTAGAGGGGTGTTACATTTGCTCCCTTCCAGTCCATTGAGACCTCCCCAGTTTGCCAGGACTTCAGGTAAATAATGGAAAGTGGCTTGGAAAGTAAGTATGCCAACTCTTTCAGCACCCTTGGGTGTAGCTCATCCGGCCTCACCGACTTGTGCACATCCAAGTGGCGTAGCAGGTCACTGACCACTTCCTCTTTAATTGTGATGACCTCATTCTGCTTCCCCTCCCTGTCTGGTAGCTCACGAGGCTGGGTGTCCAGTGAACAGCTAGTTCCACTGCTAAAGACTGAGGCAAAGTAGGCATTGAGCATCTCAGTTTTTTCCTCACCCTTTGTTACTGTTTCCCTCTGCATCCAATACAGGATGGAGATTTTCCCTAAATCCTCCTTTTGTTGTTAATGAACTTATAGAAATACTTTTTATTATCCGTAACAGCTGTAGCTAGGTTGAGCTCTAGCCGCGCTTTGGCTCTCCTAATTTTCTCCCTGCATAGTTTCACTGCATCTTTACAGTCTTCATGAGAGACCATGAATTCAACACATACACCTCATTTCATACCTTGCCACCTTCTGCAGGCAGCTCGTGACGCCTGTGTTTCCTCAAAAAACCTGGATCAGAACTTATGCGGTTGTGCCTTCCATTTATGTTTGAAATTGCAGTCAGTCCAGGTTTGGGAGAAGCATCACTCCCTATCCGGCATCCCACCAACTGGCTTGTCCCAAACACGTCTCGGGGACACCAGCCTTCGAGAGGCATTGGCTGGTCTCTGGAAGGCACGCTTTCCGGGTGATGCAGGTGTCTGCTTATCCTGTTGTCCGGTGGAATTGGAGGGGGTCTCTCTGGTGGAGGAGGCGGAGGATCACGCAAGGGAGGCGGTGGTGCTGGCAAAGGTTTGTCTTGTTTCCGCACCATACAAGGAGAAGACTGAACAACACAGTAAGTTTAAAAAAAGAAAAAAAGTTACATGTAGGCATGCATATTTCTGCCTTACTTCCTTTCTCAGAATTGAACTTTATTATAAATGCTGAGATGTTTTCTAAAATTATGTGTACCAAAATTAAAAAGCTGAAAAACAAGTTATCAGAAAAAAAAAACAAACCACCCTAAAACTTATAAGCTGCACAGCTACCCATATAAGAGCACAAATCTGGTAAGTCCAAGAGTTTTCAATAGGAGTGAATTACTAACAGCATTTTACACTCAGGCCAGGTCTCTATGAAGTGTTTTTCTCCTAACATCAGATGCCATAAGAAATACAGGGAGGATACACCTGAAAGGTGTAATTTTCATGGACTCTGGTAAGCCTGGATATTAGTACCACTTGCAGAGATGGAGGTCACATAAGTTTTAAACCAAGAACACTATTTGCTCTCACTTCATAGCCCGTTATTTTTGAGCAACATGCTACTTAGACTGAAATAAGTTCTTCTACCTGCAGATCTATTCATATAAATAGGACAGTATATTTAATAAAGAAGTGTATTTCATCTGTTAGTTAAGAAAGTTATGTTTACTGCCAAAGCAGAGATATAATGGTTGGGTCCAAATTATTTAAGTTATAGCTTATATTTATCATTTTCCACCGCAGATAAAGAGACTAAACTGTCTTTTTTTTTTAAAGCATGAAACTATCCTTTGTTGTCCTCACCTTATTTCCCTTGCATCTCTCAATTTATTCATTTTTAGAACAAGTTTCAAGAAAAAAACCAAACCACTATCTGTTTCAAAATAATGCTGCTGAAAAATCAGAAACAGTACTAATGGTATTTCTGATTTGCTCTTTTTCAAATATGAACACAGTAAAAATGCGCTATTGTAAAATTAATTCTTAATAGATATGCAATATGTTCAGCAAATACCCTGAAAGTGCTGTAAATTTCCTGATATAAGAAATTACAAAAGGAAATTAAAGAAACTACTTAAACTTCTATCTTTTACTCTCAATTATAAACCAGTAGAATCTTGAAAAGAGGTTGATTTTCAAGCTTGAAGCAAAAACCTGAAAAAATAAATAGGGTACTTCATACTGCATTATTATGAGCGTAGAGGTTTCAAAGTCATGCTTTGAACTTGAATTTGAATTGAACACCTAAAGATGAAAAATTTAAATTAATTCCCCCTCTCTATACAGCAAATATAACAAAATGATCAACTAATAATAGAGTGAAAAAATCCCCAGTATTTGTTCTCCTTCGTGCTTATTCACTCAAAAAACCACTCCTTTTTTAGTATCATTAGTTTCACAAAACACAGTGTATCATTTGTTAGCTACAGAGTCATTATTATTTCCTTTGAAACTTGAGTCCTGATACATGCCATTTAAGGTTTTAGAAGCAGTGTATTTGAACATACTTTTTCTTGCAAGGATATTGTGAAAATCAAGCAAAAATCATATTCAGAGCACAACATATAATTTTAATGAAATAATGACTTTAAAATTTATTTTCAGGAAACTTTCTATTTATTTTTGTGCTGATCCATTACAGCACTGTCTTTAAAATTCTGACCGTAACCAAATACAACATAATCATCAGACAGAGGTCACATGTGACCAACACATGTAGCTGTGAAAATCTGACTATGTAAGGTAGTATACAAAGGGACAGGCACTTGCCAAAGTCAACTGAAGGAGATAAGAGACTTAATCAACATGGATCTAATCTAAAGTTTTCCTAAGCTACAAAGAATTAGTGTTCATTCGGACAGAGCAAACACATGCAGAATTTCAGAATAGTCAATCTTCCAAAACCAGCAAGGAAGTTTACCATGAAAATAATCAAACACAATTTCTTAATATTCACATAAAAAGAAATAATGGTTCAATAAGTTACCTTTGGTGATCCCGTTGGGCTAGCACATGGTGACCGCGCCACTCCCTTTTGAATAAGATCCAGACGAGGAGGTACAGGTGGAAGACTAAGATGTGGGATTTGCAGGGGGTCTGGAAGTGGTTTTCTTCTTTGTGCAAGAGGGGAAGATCCTGGGGAAGTCACTGGTGAATTCTGCCTCTCATTGCACTGTATGACAGGAAATAAAACCCCACTATTTACCTGACGATCAATAATACAACTTTCATTCCATGACTAAAACATTTGTTACTTGTCAGGTACTTACTAATTGATTACTTAGTAATTGATTATTTGTCAGGTACTTACTAAGCGATTTATCATAATGGACACTCTTCTGTTCTTTTAATTAACAGACAGTACAGGTGCTCATCTCACAGTCACTGAGAAAGAAGTTTACAAGTCATTCTACCTCAAAACTAAGATCCATGTTAATTTCTCATGAAAATAAAAGAATATATATTCCAGTAATTTGTTTTAAAAAACAATCATTGCCATAGAAAGGGAAACAATCACAAATGTAGAGATTCTACTGTAGTACTATCGCTCCTGATAACCTTTTTGTTAATAAAGAATACTCCATCTAGAATGTTATAAAATTACTTTTAAAAGCTGGACATCTACGATACTGTCTGTTAACCATAGTCCATTCTCAAATCATACTCCTACATAAAATAGTTTTGAAAACTTACGAATCAAAATCATCAACAAGCCCATAGGCAAACAAGTTAGTTCTTCCCTCATTTATTTGCTGATTTACAAAAATCATTTTAGGACCGTTCAGTTTATCCTTTTAGCAAATACTGAACTAATCGCACACACACACTGTTAACATTACCCCCTCATGACAAATTATGATTTTTTTCTTCCTTGACATCTCTTTTCAAATTGATCAGAACCAAAGGATCTCAGTCCTTGGTACAGACTCCACACATTTTTTGCAACTACTTCTTGAATCTCATTTGGCGTAGTTTTAACAAACACAGTTTAGCTGCTCATATAAATCAGTGGAAGTTATTTCTGTGATTTGCTGCAGCGTACTGTAAGCAAACCTGGATGTTTATGCTGCTCTGTGCTTTCCCTAACTGGACACAAGTAGCTGGAAGCCATTCACACCAAGCATCAGCCTCAAGCTGCTTGTGCCCTGAGGCATCCCAGTGCTCTCGCTCCATACCTTGCTTATAGAGGCTAATAATACCCTGCCATCTCTTCAAGGTAAGCAAAAAAAACTGCTCACAGAATGCACCCATCTTTCAGCTAAGCCACTTTGATTAAAACTTTCCCCTTCTTTTCATCAGCATTTTCTCAGCAATGTTGTACATCCCACAGTGATGACAGGGATGAGACTAGGAAGTTCTCTAATGATGTAAAAATTCAACAACATTCCCTTTTCTTCACAGATAGTGACTGTATTAAAGACTCTGAAAACTTGATATATTTAAAAGCAGATCCAGGAAAACAATCCAGTACAGTGACTGCTTAACGCTCTGTACCACAGCTTACTTTAATATTCTTCAATACAATTGGAACTGGTATCAGATTTCCTTCAAAAATAGGAGCCATCACAGTATTACTTGATAACATTGCAAGAAAACATAAGAGAGGAGCGAGGAGATATTGAAGAGCTGGGAGGCTGAGGTGTAATTCCACTGCCAGAGTGATTTTTCTGTTGATACTTAGGGTCTTGCCACTTCATCTACACACATAAACTCAGTGCACAACTATGCATTCAACTTCAAGAGACAGAGCAAGATTTCTGCTCTTTGTGGTTACCAGAAGTTTCCTAGTTTCTCTTTTCACTGTAAAAGTGGTTACAAAGTTCGTATTAAATAGCCTGAATATAAATTTTCTGTGTTTCCTTTGATCGGTGAATGCCCTTGACCTTGACTGGAGGGCCATGAAGATAAACACATGAATGACCTGAGGTGCTCAGCCTCTCAAAACATTATGGAAAGTTGAATGACTAAGCTAACAACTATCGCTCAAGCCCATCTGAGCAACCATAACTATGACTATAAACTGGATGTCAATTCATTTTCCTTAAGAGAATGCATAGTTAAATGCCATAATAAGCACTGTATCACTTAATAGCCTTGGTTTTCAAAGTTTAGTTGTTCTCCACCAAGCTTTCCTGAAAGCCAAGAGCCATGTAATATAATATATTCGATGCTTTGGCTTCAGCAGACAGAAAATGAATTTATTTCCCAAATTCTTTGAAACGGAACCAAATAATCAGATGACCCCTCTAATAAGATGAAATTATTTAAAATAAAGTGTTGTAGTAAGTCACTACATTTTATGGTGTTGCACAACATACTGTGTCTCAGACAGCAGAGAGTTGTTCCAGAAGAGCTAGAAAACAATCCTATATGTAATGGCAGTTGGAAACAAAAAAAAAAAAAAAGAAAAATAGGAAATATTGAAAGCAGAGGCTTTGCGAAGAGGCTGAGGGAGCTGAGGTTGTTCTGTCTGGAGAAGGGGAGACTCAGGGGGGACCTTCTCACTCTCTACAAGTGCCTGAAGGGAGGGTGTAGTCAGGTGGGGGTCGGGCTCTTCTCCCGGGCAATCAGTGACAGGACGAGGGGGCATGGCCTGAAACTGCATCAGGGGAGGTTTAGGTTGGATCTCAGGAAGCCCTTCCTCACAGAGAGGGTGTTCAGGCACTGGGATTCACTGCCCAGGGAAAAGCTGGAGTCACCGTCCCTGGAGGTGTTTCAGGAGAGGCTGGATGTGGCATTTAGTGCCCTGGTCTGGCTGATGTGGTGGTGTTGGGTCACAGGCTGGACTTGACGATCTCAGAGGTCTTTTCCAGCCTCAGTAATTCTGTGATTCAGAGTACTGGACAGGAAACATTTGCTTGGAGTTCAAGATATTCCAATTGTTGTATCATCATAATAACTAATGCAACTTCCTCAGAGAGCAATCTGACAGTCTTGGACGTCACACTGCATGCAGTTGTACGAACCCACAGCCAAGTGAACATCATAATGACAGCATTTGAAGAATATCCATCACTGCCTTTATATGGTGAATTTCTCTTACACAGTTTTGCTCTGAAGAATCACCTGGCAAATCGATAGTCATGCCCTCAGTGAGCCCACTGGTCCCATCCACAGTGGACTTCTTTTCTCCTGCCACAACAACAGTCCAGCACCAGCAGAGACAGAAATCATGGAAATAATCACATTCAAAACCCAGTAGGGACTAATGCTAAGTTTCAGATTTACAGAAACAAGTGGCTGTAAGACACACCTAAAATGCAGCAGACAGTAACAAAAATTAGAAAAATAGGAAAATTAATTTAAAAATTCAAGATTCTTGAAACCTGACATGGTTTTAACCCCACTGAAGCAAGAGACTTAATTTATGTGATAAACGTCTGGTTCCATATATATTTGGTATTTAGCTATCTCTACCCACCATATTCCAGGGATGGTAAAATCACAACTGCCAAAATGAAATGGAAATTTTTCAAAGCAGAAAGTGTATGAAAGAACTTCAATTTAAACTTACATCAATGTCTTGTTTCAAGACAGCAAAATAATCTTTCAGTGCCCCGAACTACTATTGCATACAGACACAACCTTATCACAATAGGCTGTGGCCTCAAAGAGATTTAAAAAAAGATGATGACTAACAGGTTAAAGAATAACTTACAAGGCACAAGGGGAAGGACAGAAAAAAAAAAAGCAGAAGCAGTTTCTCTCCCCCTACAAGGAATTTTAATCCATATGACTGCTTGGTGCTAAAATAAGAGAAAATGCTTTGCTGAAACTAAAAATAATGATTCCTTGATTATATCTACTGATACCAAAAATAAAACAAAACAAAATATTTCACAGCAACAAATAGGTTTTCTTCAACATTCAATTATCAGATTTGCATCATATTCCCATTACAAAAAACCCCAATATATCTTTCCTGCCCACCCTCATTCAACCTAACTGCATCACTTGATGTCTGTCGACAGCTAGGCCAACAAAGCAGTTGCATTGCATGTCGATTCCAGGCCATTAGCATGTATAACATCTACTCTCTTGGGTAGACTACCTAAAGGATGAAGAGATTCAAAAATCTTCAGATTGTCACCTACTAGAGAGACTTCTGTATATTTTCTATTCACTGGAAATAAAGGATCAATGAGAGCAGCACAGTGACAAAAAAGATAAAACAAACAAGCAATTAAGGCACTAACTAATACAAATGAACTGGCAGTGACAGAAGACAGACCTTCAGCATACGAAGGGGCTGTGCCGCAACATACACAGACCTGTGCAAATAAAGATGTAATTAAGGAAAAGAACACAGACCCCATTGTAAAAACATGGACTTCATCTGGCTGGCGTGACCGCTGCCAAGGGAAAAGCAGCTGTGGCTGACTTTGCGACTGTGCTGCAGAGCAGGACACACTTGTGTTATTTACTCAGATGTACTTATTACTGGATATACCGGGATCAGTTTGCCCCTAGTGGTGTTGAATTCAAGAATAAGTTTGCTTCTGACATCGATTACAATTTCTAGTGAAGTTTTTTTGTGATAGAAATATTAACAAGCTACTGAATCAAGAATCTTATCTTCAAATGCCTTTCTGACAGATAGACAAATGTGAAAAGCATACTTGACACAAATCCTGACAAGTGACTCACTGAGGAATATTATTCTGACTGTTAATGTCCTGCTGGAGCCAACTCAGTAATTTATAAACTGTATAATGAGACGTCTAAAAAGGTCCAAGCAGACCTACACTAGAAGTTGCCTTTTCATCTCCAAGCAGTTCCCTTAGGTTTCTTTCTTTATAATCAGGTTAAGAGTAACTCACATATTCGTTACTTCTCATCAGGGTAAACTGCAACCTAGACAGACTTGTATAATCTGGACTTTAAAATTTGTAAGAGGATATAAAGTTTTATCAGTTAATACTGACAGCTGTAAACTTTTTTTACATAGACAAGTCTGTCCTTTATTCCATCTTTCCTTCGCTGAACCAAGAAAACGCACATGAAGGAGGAAGAGGGAGTTAAGGCTGTGAGGTCAGCACCACACTGCCCAAGGGAACTGGTAAAATACATTTTAACTAAAGGAGGCACGCTGCCTCCCAGCACTTATGCCTCTTTCAAATACTAAGTACTCACTTGTTTTGTGGCATGATTTTAATAAGTTCCCACAAACCAGGTGTACCTGGTGTACACCTGTGTATCAGTTGAGAGCATAGAGTTGAAAGGAGTACCTGGATATACATGTAAAGTTTTGGGGTTTTTTTTTACATATTTCTCTATTTTATATGACAAAATTAAAACACTAATTACAACAAAACACATGACTTTTTCATTACCAGAAAAAAGTCAATTTAATAATATGGAAATGAGGGGGAAGAGTCAAAACCACAGTCTTCTCCCATCTCTTGAGAACCAAGCTCTTTTGTCATGACTTGCTGGAAGTACCCTAATCACGACAAAGAGTGTCTTTCAGGTTTCACAATGTCCTATAACTATTTTAAAGCAGGAGTGTGAATCAAACTCAGCTTTCGGTGCATTGAAAGAGATAGGAAATTAATTCCAGAGAAGACGGTAACTCCCCACACGAGGCAACTGAGAGTTTTTAGAAGCAAGCATTTTTAGGATTATTAATCAATTCACTTTAAACTATGAAAAGCACATTATCCCTATACTGCCCAGGCCTTCTTCTATGTTTTCGTATAATACTATTTGGATCAACTACCTTAGCACTTAGGAATTCAAAATTATTTGCTCCTAACAAGAACTCTGTATTTTCTTTCTTTCGTTTTAAAAGAACTCATACAAGGTAAAGTGACATCTTGTGCAAGGTAAAGTGACGGATAACTCTTAATTCATTGGGACAAAGGAATAGTACACATTATGGAATAATGAACATAGTCTACTAGAGACTCAAATGACCTCTTTAAAAACAAAAAAAAAGATGTTTTTAATATTTACCTGAGCCTGTAATCTGTACTTCTTTTTTTAATGTGCATTTCATAGTGTTGTGCTTGGCTAGCACAAACGGTACAGAGCTAAGAAAAGGAACACTTCAGGCAACAACTACATTAGCTAATCCGATACTGTGGGGCTGGAAATTTCTCAGCGATGAGACAATTAACAGAGGTTTTGGCACCACTTTTCATCTTTCTTTCATAAAGTAGTATCTGAAGACAATCTGGAAATTAAAAAAAAATAAGCTGCTTGATGAGGCAGATAAACAGACTAATTGCAGTGGATTTCTCTAAAGCCTCTGTAGCAGCTGATCTGCTCCTGACTCACATGCAACACCTAGCAAGAATGATTCATTTTTCTTAAAGTGTTACCACTTACTCATTCCATTAAAGAACGAGCTTTGTGATTATTCTTTTCCTTAAAGCAATTTCAAATCTGAAGTCCCTCAGAGACTTAATTCAAATATCTCGTACAGTTTATGAGTATGATAAACTGCAGAATTGGTATCTTTCTGATACCCAACTTATAATTCACACAGGTACAGCAAGCGATAAAAAAACACACTGTATCTTCTTTATGCTTAAATGACAATTCCAATAAATGTTTTTCAGCTTTTCGTTTTATCAAGAAGAGCTCACTAAAAAACTCACCCAGGTCCCTTAATCAGTGATGAATCTGAGTGTGTATGCTTCTAAAATGAGCTTACTGCAACTATTTTTCGCATTATGAATACATTTACAAGTAAAAGTCCCAAAGACAGTGAAAACTGGTAGGAAAAGCTTAGAAACATTTTAACAGTGCCCCTCCCACAAGGCTTTCAGAACAATAAGGATTGATTTGAATATTTCGGCAACATATAGTGAAGCCCTACAGACACTTTCATCACGACTCCCTTGCTCCTGGAACTTTCTGCTGTGGCCAGACATGCCACAAGAAGATTTTCTCAAGAGCACCACGTGGTCTAGCCATGTGATGTGAGACAAATATCAGCCCATTTGATTTTCAAGGATTAATATCTTTATGTTGAGAAAGCATATGACAACCCTCGCAGTAAAATAAGAATTAAAAAGTTTGCTCATTGGGATTACAAAGTAACAACGGCATCAACATGCTGTCTGCAGGAACTGAATTACTGTCATCTAACTTTTATTGCTTCAATAAATCAAATGACAACACAGCCACCATGCAGAAACTTGTTCATATTAACAGCACTAACAAGAAACAGAATAAAAATTCAAAACTAGTAAAATGCTACACAATATCACAGAGGAAAAAAAAAAAATTCTTCCAGCAGGTTCTGAAGAAAACTGTTTAGCATCCAAAATAATAAACATTTAAAGAAACAGACAAGGTGGTAAAGGCATTACTAACGAAGAGTGTGTATCAATAGCATCATATTCTACGCAGGCAGTGTGGTTAAGAGCATCACCATACAGCCACTGGCAACAGTCTTAGAGAAGAAAACAGCTGAAAATCACCAAATGACTCGATGATTCAGCATTTTCAAGTAAGGACTTCAAGAGGCTAGCAAACTGTGGAAAATGGCTGTTCCTAAACTTCAAAGATAATTAGTAGGTTTCTTTCACTGAACAACAAAATTAGTGACATAAAACCAGCAAGAACCAAAGCACTCAAGCACTTGGTGGGTACTGAAAGTAAAACTTCTTATAAGTAAAGCTTAACATTCCTTCTTTTGATAAAAGCATAATGCATTTTTAGCTTATCATGGAAGTGATAGTGTTATAAAAGCCCATCAATTCAAGGCTATCTCTCAAGAGGTTGGGCTGCAGACTGCAATTTAAGTCTGGGCAGGAAGGATAAACTATTCCCAGGAGCAGGCCATGTTGTAATACATACACAAGAATCACTCACATGGCTTAAAAGGTTAGGAAGGGTATCAAAGTATGTATATTAACTAGCAGATACTCTCCAACATGAGGGTGAAACACTTTTTTTTTTTTCCCCAAGCCAAACATAACGATAAGGAAATGCAAGGGTAAGACATTACAGAATTAATTCCAAGGCAACTATTCAGTCTAGATGACCTTAGTAAAAGGTAAGACATAGAAAACACGTTGTAAAATTTAGCATTGCATGGCCTATGACAGTATCTATTCCAGGCTAAAATATAGCAGTTAAAACTACCAACATGAAATATACCTTTGCTAACGATATTGCTTATTTATCAGTGATAAAATCTCCTGTAGCCAAAAAAAGATCCCAGAATTTAATACAGAGCACTTGCAGGACAAACAATATTCCAAAACACAGTAGCTATGAATAATCTCAGATAAACTTTTCCCACTAAAGGTACCCAACACTAAAAATAGAGAAAAAAAGTCACAGACAACTTACATGAGACATGATTAAAAACTACTTGTGTGCAATACGAGTCGGATTTCAAGTCACATTTACAAAGCAGTAATATTTACAACCTATTTATAAACACACATTTAAACCCAAAATATTCTGTGCACATGTATACACACACATGCAGAAAACTAATAATATATGCTGTATATATGAATTTTTTTGCTCCTTACAAATAAAATTTCAGGGAATTGTCCATACAGTGTATTTCAGATGAGAGTATTGGCTGGCGTAAACTCATGCTTCCTCCATTATAAACAGAGTTAACGCAGTTCATAGCAGCTAAGAATCTGGATTTTTTTTTTTTCCTATTCAACTTCAGTATTATTTTTGCAAGATCGATGCATTTTGTTTTTTAACCCGAGAACTGCTCAGTGAGTTGCTGAAACCTAGAGCATGAAGTGCAACCTCTCGTTGCTTAAAGTTACGGGCAGCTTCATTCACACACCTACCACTTTATCTGTTGCACAGCATTTGTAAATTTGCCTTTACCTTTCGGACTGAAGCCAAACGATTCATCATTAAAGATTCTTCTCTATCATCATCGTCATCCAAGTCCAACATGGGCATACTAAAGCCATCAATAATACTGCAGCACCTGGAGTTTTCATCCCTTGGATCAAATGGATCCACGATGATTGGTTCAGTTCCTTTGATTTCACAGCGGCAGAAAGGACAGCCTTGTCCATCAGATTCCTACAGCAAGGCAAAAAAGTATATAATTTCTTAAAAACTAAAAACTAGAAGTAATTTTAAAAGTAGGTCTTCTATCTTTCTACAGAAAAGTGTCCTTAACAAGTTTCTAAGAATTCTGAGGAAGTTCATGAAGAACATGAAACAGATTGATAGATAATTAACTATACCAAACAGTAAAATGACTGCACTTTTAAGCTGCCTCTCTTCCAGAGATTAAGCTTTACTTAAAAATAACTAATCAAAACGCAACCATCATCTCTACAAAGCACCAAAATTGCAACTGTTTCAGTACTACATGTCAATAAGTAACACCTTGCCTTTTAGGATCACAATTTTCCTATTTCTTCAGAAGAAAGAAGGTGAGATGTATAGACAGAGGTAATGAATTTTATTACATATCTTCTATATTAAGTTATTTATTTTTCATTTTAAGTTTGAAAATGCAGATGATCTTTATCGCAGGCAGCTTATATTCTCTGCAGAATATATATATAGTCCATCACTGCTGCAACATCACCATCATCCAGCGATACACATTCAGGATAGATAAAGTACAAACATTTTTTGACGTGTTTAAGTAACAGACCAGGTCGTTAATACATTTTCGATAGATTGTGAAAAAACAAACTATTTTTACATGTTATCAGAAACAAGAATTACTTGAATTTTAATTTCTAAGTCGTATAACATATTAAACTATTTTCAAGGAACTGTATTTTCATCCCTTTTACTCATTTCAGAAATATTTTTCCTTGCCAGAAGTAATCAAAAAGCCTTTGAAGTAGATTTCAGACTAAAGGACAAAAATATCAGAGAGAAGTCTTTCAAGCACTAATAAAGAAATTTTTCCATTAAGAGGCAGATGTAGATTTATTTTTTTAGAAACAGCAAACCAAAACAAAAACCAACCCTATGCTCAAAAGAGCCCTGAAGCTTTGAGAGATCAAGATAATTCAAGCTGACTTCAGAAATGACACTGTGTCATATTTGCAGTGAGGTATACAGACAGCTAAAAGGACAGAAACACCAAAATTTATTCTAAACAACTTACCTATTCTGAAATATCATCAAACAAATACAGTGTTTTGATTTCTCAGATAAAAGGACAGCTTTATTTTTTTTTCTAGCATTACTTTTATCTTGCCAGTCTTAGTAAACTGACAGTTTAGTACAGTCACAGTTTGTAGAAGAACTGCATCCCAAGGCCAGATAACTACAAATAATGTCTCCTGACAACAATCACCTCTATTTGCATGGTTAGTACTGGATACTCATTTTGTACAGAAAGATATATGTAATCTACTCTCAGCGGCCTTGCATTCTAATTATGAAGGACTACTCGACATCACATACTACCTCAAAGAGCGCCTCCAAACTATATGGACTTACTGAAGTGACCACTGTCAACAGAAGCCCCCCCCAAGCTCTACAATTTTTTACAGTTTCGTTTTCTAAATCAGTCTTACAGAAGAGGCCAAGAGCTTTTCATTTTCAAGGCTTTCTTGTGTCAACTGTTGTCAAACAGTTCTCTGCTAGCAGGCTCCTCCTTTTCTTTTCAAAAGTACTAACAATCAGAGAAGCAGCGACTCGTGTGCGACAGCATAACTGAGAAATTAAAACTCGGATCCAAGATGTTGATATGAATACACGTCTGTCCCTGCCCACAGAAACGTTATTTAGAACACTGAGATAGCAGCTACGGTGAATCTTACAATGCAGCATATATGCCCATACACTTTTAGGGTCAAGCCCAAACATGTATTTTTCAGACAAGAATAGGTTTCTGTGGAAGAATATGACATTGCATTTCTGAGGAAGAATATGACATTTTATTTCTGAGGCCTAACACAAAAACATAACTGTTAAACCAAGTCTTATTTGAAAGACTGATCTCCATAAAGGTGAACAACTCTGAATCATCCTTAGTATTCTATGCAGATCTGATGTTGCTTAATGAATTTTCTTCTGCTTAGCGAAAACACCTGTATTGGACCTCTTGAGGTATGTCTAATGAGCTATTATTCTGCCAATTAAACACCAGCCCACCAGAAGCTCATAACACCTGATGGTGCTACAGTGTAATGTTTCTTCATTGCTTCACTAATTATGCAAAAGTTAAATTTGTAATGAAGTCTGAAATGTACCTGGCCAATTACAGCTGGCTGCAATGTTCTGATGGAGCTTGATGGTTTTGAACATGTTGGTTCTCTGAGCCTAAAATGCTTTGTTGTCCTCTTCCTGAATTCCCTAGCCACTGGCCAAAGTATCGAGCACCTTAGCTTCTCAAGTCTCCAGAATCAGAACACATTGCGTGCACAACACTTGAACATGGTGCTACCATGCTATGAGACACTCAGCAAAAAAAAACAAAAAAGGACGAAGATTTCAGTCCTTTTGCTTAGTCCTTCCAGCTAAGAAAAAGGCGCAAAACAAACAAAAATAACCCCTGAAAACACTGGAGACCTCAGAGTTTTTTTCAGTCAAAGATTAACATAATCAGACCTATATGTTTGTCATTCAGAATGAAACCGGTAAAAGGGTACTCCTGAAATGAGAAATATTGTTCCAGTTCAGCAGCTGCTCAGTAGTGAAATAAGTATATTTATCTGCATATGTCTAAAATGGAATTTTCTCAGAATTTCTGATCTGTGGGCAATTTGGAAGATTTGTGTTTGGAGCATCAGACTCAGATTTCAGACAGAACATAAAATCAGAAACTGAGAATACTCTTTGTTCAGCAAGCTTTATTGCTAATGGAAGAAAAGCTCAAACGATACTTCTGATACAATGGTGTTGTTGGCTTGCCAATGATGATTTCTTAATTAGAAATTTGAAAAGCAATTTAAGTCATACCTCAAACACGAGAACAAAAACTCAAACACGAGAACAAAAACTCATTAACTGAGGTGAACTCATTTAAAACAAGGCCAAAAATCAACTAGAGACATGGACTCTTTCTACTCTTCTCACTACATTTGTGTCCCAAAGACTGGCACCTAACTGTGGGATAGAGTCCTACCCAAAAAATACAGATATAAAAGAAGAAAGGGGCAGGGAAAAGAAGACAGAATTGATTTAGCTTGAGAATCACCTACTAGGGGAAAATCTGAAGTTATAAAGAGTAATGAATGACTTTTGCTTTTGATTTTAATTTTTAAGTCAAATGTTTGTTAACTGTGCTGAACTAAAGGTACCCGTAACTCCCTTTTCTCATGGACTGGTATGTGCATGAACAAGCTGGACAAAACACAACGACCTGTCACCACGAAGTCTCCGTGTTTCTTGGTATATTCTGTAAATAACTGAGAGATCACAGTTTCCCCTCCATTCAATCTCTTATTCACAACCATCTAAAGCTAGGTGGTCTAGTGCTTTGCATATTATTCGCATGAAATACAAGAATCCTAACCTTGTTTTACCATAGCCCATTTCATAACTTGTACTACTGATCGAACCACTCTCACTAAAGACATCCTGTCTCCTAGTGAAATGCTGTCTTGTCACTTACCCATTCCCAGCTGCTACCTGCTCTTTTCATACCTTTTGAATACATCATGAAGTGACCTGCGTGGCTGAAGTGGCATCAAATGCTCAGTTTTCACTGTCTGAGTAGATACTGTGCTCAGGAAATAGTTTCCACTTAGCAGCAGTCAGCAAATAGCCTTGGCAAGCAAACAAGTCTGGATTTTAATGACTAAACTCCTGGAATTTTATTTTGCACAGATTTTGGTACTCGAAAAGATCTATAATTTTAAGTATGTATGTCCTTGAACCCTCTTACTGAGCACCTGGGAATGTAAACATATACACACACTGTAAACAGGAATCTAAGAGAGAAATCCATCTTCTCCACTAACTGAACTATGACAGTACCTGCCACGCTGTAAGACAAGAAGTGCACATGAGGTGTCCACAAGGCTCTATCTTCACATCCTTGTCATTCTCTGCACAGATTTTACACAGCTGAAAAGTGGAACCCATTTCACAGTATAATTCATACTGCTCCTGTAACAAAAGAAAGTCAAGTGATTACTTCTTTATTGTGATTTTTTCATAAAGAATATACTTAAGCACCAGTAATGACAACCATTTCTCTGAGTCCCCTGTTTTCCAGTCCACTTTATTTATTATAGTCAAGAAAAGTATTGCTGCCATCTATTTAAAAGTCATGCTAAGGTTACTGAAATACCTTACTTTTTTGCTTCTTCAAACCTACGATATACAATATATTCTATGATATGATATCCTACCAAAAAAAAAAAAAAGTTTAAAACAACTGTGCCTATTATGTTTACAGACTTCTCACAAGTAGCTACTCTGCAAGGCATACATCTTTTTCTAGATATCAGTTTAAGACTAATAAAAGTTATTGCACTGAAAACTGTCAAGCAAAAGGGCTTTCTACCTACAGCAAGGATATAGTACGGTAGTATGATTAAATGAAGCAAACAACCTTTGTGAAGAAAGTATGACAAGAATATGCCCCAGGATAACACGGCAACAGTCATGCACAGATCCTGCAGTACTTTGTACCCTTATAAGGCTGACAAGAAGACATAAGAACATCTTCAGGAGGAATAAACAATAGATAAAACTTGAGTCCTGAATAATTTTCTAGAATTAGTTATTGTTGGGGAACTGGCAATCAAATGCATTTGTATAGAAATAAAGCTTTTTCAGTCTTGTAAAAAAAACAATTTTGAGCAATTAAGCAGAATCCAGGTCACAGGAAAATAAGCAGCTATTGGTGAATAAAGAGAGGGCAGATGAGGCTAAGAAAAACAGAAAATAAAAGAGACAGCTCATATCTGCAGCTGTAGCCAGTATGTACTAAAGACGCTTATGGTGGAGCTCTCCCAAAAAATCCATCTGCAGCTATCTGTCTTGGAGTCACTCTTATATTACTTTTTTGTAGTTTAAGCAGCTCTAGTGTCAGCTTTAAACTACTGCAATATTTAAGGCAGGATTCACATAGTTCAGACCCTGTTGAATTACCATGAGAATTAACTAATGGTATTCTCATAAACTACAAGTTCAGAAGCAACTGGTTTCATACAGTGAATTCAAAATACAACACAACTGGCTTCTGAAGAACAAGATAATTGCTGAGAATTAGGCTGCTTTTCCTTTCCTTGAGGAAAAGTAAGGACAGAAGGCTAGAAAAACGCTCTGTGCAACAGAAATATCTGATATCTCTGCGTTAGTCTTTCCTTACTATTTTAAAATTGGAGGGAAAAAGAGTGAAATCAGAGAAGAGGAAGTACTCAAGACTTTATCCAGGTGATTGTTTTTAGGAAGTCTCTTACATTTTCATAATGGTATTCTTAATAATACCATAAATGGCAACGAATATTTCTTTTCTAAAATATTTCTGGACATGGAATGTACACAGAGCACTCAGAATTACAGAAGATTCAGCAGACCATCCAGCCTGCTCCAAAGAAACAGAAGACCATCTGAAATACTGTTTTTCTTTCCTAGTCTGATGTCTTTCTTTCCTTGAACATATTCTCAGGTCTTCCAGACATTTTTATAATGAAAAATGTTCTACACAGTATACCTCAACCTTCCAGCGTTAACTTCAGCACCATTTTTAATCAAGCATTTGTCTTGTGGTGGCTATTTCCTATTACCCGAGCATCAAACATCCGCACATTATCACATCATCACTTAACATGACTACAAAAACATCCATTCTAATTTTCTCTGCAAAGTGACTGCCTGTAGGCACTTAACTATTTCTTTTGCTTTTCCCAATCTCTGTTTCTATTTGCACAACAGACGAAGAAGAGAGATCCTGGAACCGGCATCTTTGTGATAAGTGAACTACACTTTTCCTCCCGGATCTGTCAACAAACTGTACCATTCCTATTCAGGCTTCAAAACTATCACTTGATCTTGATTCTATTTTGTATTCCCATCTGCTGTTATAGCAAGGAAACACCAAGCTACATAAACTCGTGACATAAATATCAGACATATCCTTAATAACCCTTAATATATTTCTCACTTGGAAGAGGCTTAGAATAAACAAAACTTTCCAAGACATGTTGTCTGCATCACCATCAGCTCTGGAGTTTAAAGGATTATTATCTTGTTCATCTAAGCTCTTCTATCAGTAACATATTTTCACCCTTACAAATTTATTTCTCACTTTTTAATAAAAGCTTATTATCACTGCTAGATGAGATACTAAGGAAAGTGAAGACTAAAAAATGAACCAGTAAACTCTGTAACATACCTGTGTGACTTTTATGTGATCATGTGGTGTGGGTTCACATAATCCTGTCAAATCAGGATTATAACTTCGTCCATCTGGGAACAGATAGCTGCATCACAAGAAGATTGTTATAAATATGCACATTTCTTCAGCTTTAATAGCTTAATAATACTTATGAAATTTCATAGGGGCAGAATAAGATACAGCAGATATGAACTAAAATGCATCATCTTTCCTCAGCCATCGTTCTTATCTTTTGGGTGCAACTGGATTGCTACAAATGCATTTCGACACATGCTCAAGTCTTATAAAAGCACATCACATGCATAGCTACCACCAGAATGCATCTGAGCTTTGATCAGCAGATAACTTTCTATGAGTAGCTCAAAAGAATATTATTTTAGATCTTGATTTCATAGTGAGCTTATACCTGCACATGTTCCTAGTGATCTCTCTCCTCCATTGTGAGCATCACTCTCAGTTACTCTATAGATTATTTCAAGTAATGGAGCAAAATAGAAGGTAACACACATCTCTGCGTATTATGATACATATATGTCATAATCCAATATATGCAGATATCTGTGTATATTATGATATATATCAATCTCTGTGTATATTATGGCAAGAATCTACACTTTGAATCCCAAATGCAGTCTTGATGTTAAGCGAAAAGGATCGGGAGCATTTCAATCCTCTGGGAAATTAGTAAGAGGTTAAAAGATGTTATAGAGACCCTAAATTTGCTATGTTCAGATTTATGTTACCTCTAACTTGGAAACAGTTTCTTGAAAGTTTTGTTCAGTCCTGCTGTGAGAATGCTACCTTACACAGGGTACAAAAACTTCACTCTGTATCAAATATTCTCAACTTTAATTTTCGTTTGCTCAGATTTTGTCAAGTAGAAACACAACCCTTACAAGTGTGTCTTATGACAGGTATGAATCCCTATACACGGAAAAATCAAAACCCCTGGACTGCGCGGGACTGAGAAAGATTACAAAATTGTAAAGGATTTCTCAATCTTTTTTTGAGAATTGATAAATTTTCCTATTGGGGTTTGCTTCTCTTTTCAATTATGATCACATGGATAAATCAAAACACGTATCCCAGTGAAAAGATTCTGATCCCAAAATTTGCCTGTAACTTCAGACAACCTAGTAAAAATGTACTACTTCCTCCTATAAACCTAGATTCTCTTATAATTATCAATCTTTTCAGTAAACTATTAGAACCTGGAAAATGTTCTGGCTGCCGAATATATAAAAAAGCAATTACACAGCTTTCAAATCATTGTCCAGAGTTAAGACACATGAGTAACTGGCAGTAGTAACTGTTCAATAAGCTTAAGTGCATTTGGGACTCTTGGGGGGATGGGGAAGGAATCAATGTGACAGCTGCCTGATTTTATTTTCTCCTGGAATTTATCTGCAACGAGATATGGCTTTGGTTAACTTTGCTTAACAGAACTACCTGGAAACGAGCATTTTTCAAATAAATAAAAGAGATCGTCTTTAAACTCCAAAGGAATGTTAAACACCATATCTAGATTCTCTGTTTCAAAGACTTCCAACAACTACTCACACAAGCAGCAGAAGAACAAGGAAATCAGGATTTCACACCTATGGTGACTCTAGGAATTTGTACTTACAATCCTTCCCGGCTGCCATCAATCAATGCTTGAAACAGAGGCTTATTGTGAGGTATGGTCTGCAATATGTTCCCATCGCCAGTCACATAGCCAATGGCCCACTGTCCCAAGCGAGTGCAACTCAGTCTGAAAATGTAGCTTGATGAAAAAAAGGATGAATAAAAAGGCAGTGTTAATCAGCATTCAAGCAAAAGAAGTGAAGGGAGTAAGGATGGCCTCTGGTTAAGACACTGATTCCCAATTCTGCTACATGTTCCTTGTATAACCTTAAATAAACCTGCATCTTTTATGCTGTCAGTTCCTCACAGGCAGCAATAAGGGAACAGTAACAACCAAAACTTTTCATTTGCTTGCTTTTTAGTTCTCAATGTGAAAGACACCTTACAGGAATAGTCCTATTATACACATTTAGACATGGGGACTGACCTGCTGGAGAGCAGTGTA